CCCCCCCATTATGTCTTCATGGTGAAATGTTGATGTACCATATGATGGTGTGATCTGTACATGAGTACAGTTGGACTGTGACCGACAAGTATGATAAGTATGTGGGGAATGCTGTTGCTGTCTGGTAGGATGATAACATTGTATACTGGATTCTTTGTATCAGAAAATGTGTCATTAAGATGGTTATCTTGTTTTCATATTTTATATATGCGGTATTTCTCTAAAGTGTTCATGTAAGATCCTTTCCTTGCTATTTGAAGTATTTCTAAAGTGTCTTTTAGGGGGCCATATGAGTATCCTGTTTCTGGAACATGTTGAGCAGATTCTGAGTTTGTTTTGTTTGTTCTTATGTCATGGATATGATCATTACATTTGGTGTTAAAGGTTCTACAAAACTAAACTAGATTTCTTTTTTCTTCAAATCTACTTAACCAAACATTTTACACATGCAAAATTATGTATGTAAGCTATCAAGTGATAATAAAATATTTCAAAATTAAGCACAAAAGCTCCCTTCCTGTTCACCGCATGCAAAGCTTCTCATTCCTGAAAATGACAGACATGCACACTGTATCCCCAGACCTACATTAGATGTTACCCAAGTGTATTCATTTTTGCAGGGTATCAACAGTTATATACAAAACGTTTAGGTAAAGAATATATGTTGTAACCATAGACCAAGTTCCTTCAGGTTGTGAAATGGTTATTTCTCTATTCGGACATTGTTATGTTATTACTTAATGGAGAGAGAAAAAGTGTTTATATGCAATAAAAGGAGAGCTTAAAACTTCAAGACTGAGATCTTTCAACAGGACCATTATAATGATATTTCAGTGCCCTCTTTTTCTGTAACTATCCAATTTGGGTGCTCTCTCTCTCTCTCTCTCTCTCTCTCTCTATTTAACCAAACAGTTTCCATATATCTCTTTGCAAATATCACCAGATCATGAACATACTGTGTCTCCATGGTGGAACATCTCTTGAATGTCCATTCACTTCAACTCCTTGTGCATATGAACCCCAAGATCTATCATACAGCTATGCTCTCTCAATGCAAACATGTGCAACTAGAGACAGTATGTGGCTACATACAGTGTATCAGCTCTCAGAAGGGTAACTTAAATACAGCTCCAAACTAAACTTTCACTTTTTTAAACCACCAGTTCTGTTTCTTTGAGGGGAAAAATATTTAAGTATGTTTTTTTAATTAGGAAACTAATAACTGCAATTCAACTAAGGCACATTATTACAGTTCGATAAAAGTGCAAATTTATACACCATGCCTACTTGTGCTCTAACCTGATGATAGTGTCTGCTGGGAAGAGCCTCCTTGCTGGGCTGATGGAACTGTCAGCATCTGTGATGAAGGCTGTGGAGTACCAGGAGGGAACCCCAGTGTATCTGCTGAGCTGTAGGATGGTAAAAACTGAGCCCAACTGTCAACTAGGGCTTTGCGACCTTTTGGTCCCAGTCGACCAAGTTCAGCCAATAACAAAGCTTGTGCAGCCTCACGCACCTTACAGTAAAAGAATACACGACTGACATAAAAACTATGAGTAATGGTATCTGAGAATGACTTTAACAGTACATTCATTGTTTAAACATTTTTGTGTGTCTTGTGTTCAGTTTTGTGCTATTAGTTTCAATTTTAGGTCAGAATTAAGTTTTTACATTTTCTGAATACCAATATCTGAACAGAATACATCTTAACTTGCAGTTTTCCATTTTATTACTTTACTAGGGATGCCACACACTCACAATCCAATCACATAATCATAACATTCAGTACTGAAAAAGAATACAGGTTTCATAAAACTGTTCTAAATTAGTATTTTTGATGAAAAGAATACCACAGAGAATAATTGTTGGATATTAGATTCTCACAGCAGTGGTTATGAAAAGCTCTATCTTCTGGAATATAAGGTCATGTAGCGCGTTGAAAGTTAACTGACGTTTCAAAGGAACAAATCACCTGTATCTACAAAGCAAAGTTTTCCTCACTGCCTACATCATGCTGATTTCTTGCTTGGCTTACTCAACCATGAAGATGAAGGTGACATGTTCTTTCAAACGTTAGATGACTTTTAACAGACTAAATGGGGTGTGACAATTAAGTTCTTGAACTGAGGCCATAAAAAACAAATTAATTCATTCATTCATCTGTAATCTGTCAAGACGACAGGTCCACAGTCTCTTCCAAAACAGTTCCTCCACTTGATGCGATCTAGAGCTTTCTCCTTCAAATGAAAATATCCTCTTCTGTCCCCAAGGTCATCCAGCATCTTCTTACGTCTTCTGGTCACTTCTATCCGTCCCTCTATCTTTCCTTCAATAACTTCTTTTAGAAGGCAGTTACCGCGTAAGATATGACCAATCCAATTAGCCTTCCGTTTTCTTATTTTGTGTAGGATATTCCTCTGCTCACTGACTCTAAATGACACTTCTTCATTTCTCACATAATCGGTCCAACTGATCTCCTCCATCCTTCTCCAACACCACATTTCGAAGCTTTCCAGGTGTTTCTGATCTACTGCCCTAAGTGTCCAAGTTTCAGCCCCATACAAAGCAATGCTCCAAATGTAGCATTTCACTAGTTTCTTTCTCAAATTTAAGTCCAATTTGCTGGTAAAAAGATTCTTCTTGCTAAATGCAGCTTTTGCCATGGCAATTCTACATTTAATTTCACATGTATACCTTCCATCATCTGTTAAGAAGCTACCCAAATATTTAAAACATTTCACATTCTCCAGTTGTTTTTGGTCTATCTTTATTGTGACTGGGGTTGGTTGTCTCGAAATTTTCATTACTTTAAAAAAAGAGAGAAAAAAAAACAAATACAAAGATAAAAATATTTATTAATACCATCACTCAATATAGTCCCCAGCCACTTCCGCAGGATGTTTACATTGCTCATACAACAAATCAAATGCCCGAGAAAACATTTCTTCCCATATCGCCTTCAGTTCTCTCATCACCATCTACTGGATTGATGAAACAGCCTCGAATCTCATCCCTTTCATTGTAATTTTTAATTTAGGGAATAGAAATAAGTCAGTCAGTGTTAAATCAGGGGAGTAGAGTGGACAGAGACAGGAATGTACCAGTGCATTATCATGCAGAAGATACCAGGACTCACTTTCCTGAAACTTAGGCCTAACGTGATGAACTCGAGTGACCAATCTCTTAATCACCTCTTTATGAAATTTACCATTTACAGTCTGCTTTCCTGCATATATTTGTGATGAATAATACCTTTAGCATAAAAAATGCAATCAACATTGTTCTCACCTGCGATGTTTGCATTCTAACTTTCTGAGCTTCTATGTACCTTTTATGTCATTCTTGATAAGCATGCTTCACAATACCAACTTTTCAACATATTGTCACGTGTTGGGTATGTTACATGACAAATAACTTCACGCCGTTCTGGATCTTAGCGAATTTATTCCACACTCGCTCTTACACTTACATGCTGTATAATTATTATCACTTGTAGTATCACAATTACTGCTTCCACTATATCTTGGCGAATACTAGACTGCCTTCGGCAGTTGCTACATTTCAACTCTCTCTCTCTGGTAACTCACTCTCTAGTAACTCAATACTCCCGAATAGTGTTCGCTGCTTCTTATTTAGGCTCAGCACGGACAACATAGAGAACACACTGCTGCTCGGCAACAGATATCAGGTACTGTCAGGTCTTTCTACCTATGCATTGTCCAACAACAGTCACTGCACGGACTCACCTGTTGCATGATGTCAGAGCCTAGAGGGGAGTGGTGTTAACAGGAGCATTGTGTAATGATGGGAGGAGTGGGGGTACATGACATCACTCGTGAGAACACAGAGATCATGGGACCCCTACTTCCTGTTGCACCATCCACGTCACAATATCAAACGTTTCAGTAGCTATATTCTTTCATTTTACACAGAACTTATTTGCTGCTCTGTTCCATTTTGAAACTTCAACACGATGAAAAAACTACCTTCACCAAAACAACTGTAATCCTCATATGCATCAACCAAACAAGTTGAAACTTGCACATTATATAAATAAACATTCTCTCTAACTAGTCCCATTCATCCCCAGTAGATGGCATTAATAGTATTACTGTAAGAGTGTTAGTCTTATGGTCACATTGTATATTCCAGAAGACAGAACTCTCCAGTGCATTATATAATCACTTCTCTTGCCCACGCACTTAGTACCACTTGACCATGCAGGAAACACATTTTATTTTATTTTTCAAAGTGTCAGCCGGGCTAACACAGTTAATATGAAAACCCTGCTACTGGCTACACAAAATATCATACTGTTATTATTTTTCTTCGCATGAATTTTTATCTAAAAAGTATTCAAAAGTTCAATGCCTACCTTAAAGGAAACACTGTCTCCATTACAAACATCAAATGGTTTGTGCTCTTTAGAGAAATAATCAATACTTTTTTTCTGAGAATACAAAACCAATAAATATATTTTATGGGCAAAATGTAGAGTTTTGAATGTTAAAGCATGTGGAAAATATGGTCATCACTGTACTTGAAATGGTTAAACATATCCGAAATCTCCTTCTTTCCATTTCTGAAATGGCTGTATGCCATAAAAATTAACTTCTTTTATTTTGAAAAAAACAAAAGTGTATACAAAAAAAAAAAAAAAAGGCCTAGGCAATGCCCATCTGGCCTTCAATTAACATACCTCCAAACACTGGTGCTGCCACCTTCGTGCCATCATCTCGACTTGAGGTCTCTTGAAGTTCTTCGAGCCAGCCTGGACCACCTTATCTGGCAGTAAAACACAGTGCAGAGTAGCCAACAGACTCCAGCCTTGCTTGATTTGAGCTTGCTGGGCTGTGAACAGATCTTCATTTTCTTCTTCAGCTTTAGTGGCCCAGTTGAGGGCTGTACGAGTACTCTGCCTGAAGAGACAAACATTAATTGGTGGTAGTATTATTGAATATATTGGATTAGTGAATATATTTATTGACCATTTAAAGGTCATAACTATGAACAACTATAACACTACAGCTGATCTCCACACTACAAATCACTTCACACTAAGTCCTCTCAGTCTACTTTCACTAGTCTTTACTCAGTAACCACTATCCACAATGGCTATTTCTCTGCAATGTTTTCACTACATGTTTCTTGGTAATGAATATCAGAAATGCAGATTCTTCAGCTTCCACTGCCCACTGGTTAACACTCCACAACTGCACTGCACTTATTCACTAAACAGAACACGGTTGGTTGAATCATATATCCTGGGAGCGGACCCACAGAGAACACCGCCTGCATCACCTCTTCTACTGTTTTGTGACATCACAGTGCACATACATGCTGTACACGCCACATATCATGACACTTCCTCTATTGTTGCATGTGCGCATTACCTAGCAATGGCTGATGTTTAAAGAGTCATCTCTTAGAAACGGGTCTATATGCCACAGCAATAACAATATTTTTTAATTAAATAAAAGAAAACAATGCATCAAATTATGTAGTACTGAGCAAGAGAACATGAAAATATTTCATTCAATTTAAATTCAAAGAAGTCAGATTGAAATTAATTCTCTAGTGTCTTACATAGGGTGAGGAAAAACCAACATATTGGCCTCATCTGATAACCATTTTAAATGCGTCCATAATGATTCTCTAAGATATCAAATTAACAGAAAATAAACTTGTTGCTGGTTTCCTCTTCTTTTACATTTGAAATTGATAAAGTCCCAACTGACCTATAACCTGAGCTTAATGACCTGCAAAGTAATTCATTTCTTTTAGAGTAATTCAGATGAGTGACAATTTTAAAATGTTTATGCCTTTCTTAACAGCAGTGTATTTCCACAATTAAAGGAAGTCTGCATTATCTGGTTCAACCTACATATGTGAGCAGATATTTCCCATGATAAAATTAAATACATCAAAACTCAGAGCTGTAATTAACACCAGTCACCATTTAATAATAATAAAAACTGCAACAACAGAAGACTTCAATATCTTTCCCCGATTCGTGTAATTTTCTTTATAAGCAAAATAAATTTCTAATTACTTAATCACTTAATTGAAGAGTTCTATCTTCTGGGATATAAAAACATGTAGTCTGTAAAATTCAACTGATGTTTTGCAGGAACATATGCCTCCATCTTCAGGGTTGAAGCCATTATAGAGCAAAAAGCAAGAAAAGCAAGCCATGTATAGAAATACACGATTATATACACTAGGAGGGAACTTAGCATGAACAGGAGACATGAATCAGATATTCATGACTTTACATCAATGAAGATGTGCCATGTAAAGCTTACCTAAACAGGTAACATGGACTGGCAACCAAAATGACTGACCACCTCTGATCTAACCTATACATGACTGTAATGGTCACTGGGCACATAAAATGAAGGCTACCTCTACTTAGAATTTACTCTATGTTTCTCAATTCTTGAACCTCAGTTTACTTCCACTTTACCTAAAATAACTATCCTTAATGTACAGTATGTTCCGTTCAAACTTCCCACATTTTAATTAATCATTGCGAACAAACTGTAATAAATCATGGACTATAATTAAAACTAGATGAAAGAAAAACTCGAAGAATTTAATTTCCATTTTTCTTCAGTGAAGCTACAGTATCTGGGTGCGTATAGACATGTTAGAACAGTTCCTGTATCCCCAGGTAGTCAAACTGCAGCCTAACATAATCTTCCAACACGATGGAGCCCGCCACATTGGGGTCTGGATGTTTGGAGGTCCCTCAACGCCACCTTCCAAGATCGCTGGATTGGACGTGGTGGACCAATTTGGTGGCCACCATATTCAGCAGACCTCACTCCACTCAATTTCTTCCACTGGGGTTAGGTGAAGGACTCGTGTTCGTGACTCCAGTGAATGACCTCCCAGATTTAAGAGCCCACACCCGTGCAACGATCGCTACAGTACCAATGGACATGCTGGAAAGAATGTGGCAAGAAATTGAATACAGATTGCATACTGTTTGTGCTACCAATGGTGCACATGTAGAGGTTTATTAGTGTGTCAAATAAAATTTTTTGAGTTCTTCCTGTATTTCCTGTAGCCTCATTTTCATACCATTCGTACTTTCTGCTCTAAAATCTGATAAAATGTGGGAGGTTTGAATGGAACATCCTGTATAAACAACTAATGGATGAACAACAACATGTAATGACAGGCTAACAAATTACTTTCAGAAAAGCAAGATACCATATTACAAAAAATCTTAAAAGCAGACCACAAAATTTTTCATCCAAATCCTCTGCAATTTACAGCCCTATTAATCATAAGTTTACAAACACTGGTGAGTCCTATGCAGCCCTTATGAAGGAGATCTGTTACAGAAGAAAATGAAGTATAAAGGAAAGGTCTGGCTACTTTGCAAGATTGTAGCCTACAGGAGCTCAACCAGACATCTTAATTTTTTTATAAAAAAGCATGCAATGGAAAAGATTTCCCCAGTTACACAACATTTGCTTGGTTTTGTGGCTCAAGAAATTGATTTTATTCTAAAGGAAACAAGGCTTTGATTCAGGTGAAACAAGAGTGATGTCTTGAAAGGTGGTTGTAATAAAAAATAAAAAGCTTTCCTCTCAGAAGCTCAGTTCATATTTGAGTACAAAACTTACTGAAGAAACTTACACAATTGTAAAAATATTCTACCATATTAAAGGTCTTGTGTTTAATTACCTGTTCATCAGGTATCAAAGATATTTTCAACAGTTGCCTTATAGTTTTCCAGTTTCAATGAACGTGATTCTGATAAGAGCTACAAAACTGTTAGAGAATCTGTCATGACACAAAGTTTCAAGCTCCTACACTGAATTATGCTGCTCTTGTTAACTCCTCAAAAGAGTGTACAACCATTATGCTGGAACTTGTGAAAGAAATGACTTGTGATCTCAAACAGCATAATCTTCCTAATATAAAATGAAAACTTACCTAGTAAATGAAAAATGACTAGGATGAACATACCATACCATACCATACCATACGTACATTTACAAAATTGGTTCTCTCTTTCAGAAACTACTCTACCATCAAAACATGTTGTCATCATTCTAAGGATCTGACCCAGACACCTTCTGAACATGAAACAGATACCTCACCAGGAAGTTAACTTGCTCAATTTCAAGCGATCAACCTACTGCAGTGCAGAGGTGACAGGCTATATAAACATCAGTGTAAGCACTTGACGGCTAAATTATCAAATCAACTGTAAGTAGCAACATGAAAGCACTGTTATATTTAATGTAATATTTTTATTTCATATGATCACATTTTCAAGTTATAAAGAAAGTTTGGTAGAATATTCAACTTACCTATGAAGCTTGCGAGTGCGTTCCTGCTCAGGAATAAAAGTTGCATTATTCATGGACATAAGTGTGTTCGCCATTGCAATAATTGCAAGCAGATGATTACTGGTCAAAGTAGTACTTAGCTCCCAGTGTGTGCGTGCTGTGAACAGCCTTGTAAGTCGCTCCAAGCGAACCAATTCAACTGGCAAGTCAGCTTCCAAGGAGTTAGCACTGCCAGATGTGTTTGCTGGCTTCTCAGCATCAAGTTCATTGGCACATTTTGCTTGCCATGTTGGGAGCAATAAGCTCATGTAACCTTGAAAAAGAACACACCTGTCAATGACTTGGGCAAAGTGATCATGTATCTGACAGTGTTCTCTATACTGTACTATATATGGAACACATTTCATTTTATAATGCAGGCACTTTTCTCAAAATTTTATAACGAAAAGCAGGGGTATCTGACTTATGAGGATATCAACAACTGCCTTCTTTCCATGCGTACTTCATAATAATAAATGAAAAAAACCTTTCATGCAAAAATTAGAAATTAAAATTTGAATTTGAGATCCTTACAGTATGGATATTATGACAACAGTTTTCTGAGATGTGACAGCATGCGGTTTGGTACATACTCAAACAGGCATTGCATCACAGAAAATCATTTTAGTTAGAATTTTACATCATTCATCTGTGGGAACATCCCACAGTGCAACAGACAGCTCCTTTCCTTTCATTCAACCAGACAATTCTTACTCCCGGGGGCATATCAAGTCACACTGCGACCAACGGTCAGTCAGTCTCATATTTATACAGCACTCGCTGTCCGGCCCTCTGGAGATCGACATGGGCGCTGGCCAATCAGTGCTCACAATCACAGCTGCATCGCTAGCTCCACCCAGCAAGCATGGTATAAAAAGGCAGAGGTCAAAACTGGCTATCGTCAGTTTGTTACTTCAGTCCACCAATCACAGCCATCATAGCTACACTGACATCATGAAGCAGCCACTGTCATAACTCTCCAGCAACAGCGCTGAGTCAATGGACTCTGCTGTCACACGCACCACTGCATCACCGGCCAGCCAGACCAGCTGAACTGCCGCAAAGAAGACCTGGGCTGCTACAAAGCAGCAAACTCTACTAGTGCATGCATGGTTGAACAAACGGCCCCTTTCAGGGCCAGTAAATCTTGTGAATAGCATACGGTTGAACAACGCACCTTTTCAGGGCCAGAATATCTTGTGAATAACATAAAGTGGAACAACGACCCTTTTCAGGGCCATCAATCTTGTGAATAGTAGATATTTAATTGAAACGGCTTCCCAGCCATCCTGTACATTTTTAAATAATATATATAGTTATAGTTTTATGTGGTTGTCTCTTTGGAACATAAACATCCCACACATTCCTTAAAATCAGATGACTGATTGTGAGGTATGAAACACAATGACATTTCTTATCTGCTAACTGAACAATTTAATAACTGGAGATTATTATTACAACAGAACTCTTGATAACATTTATAAAATTAACACCAAATATATATTCTCTTACTTGATTACGTTTTGTAATTTTTCAAGTTTGCTTCTATGAACTTTCATTCAATCAATGCTTATTAAACTGCTAATGGAATACTATTTTTCATACGAAAATTACTTTTCTTTTTAAAATAGGTTATCAACTTATAAACACTGCTTACCTCCTTTGGAGAGAACTCCAAATGACACTGGTACCATTGGACGAAGAAGACCCAATTTACCTTCACACACCCTATCAAGGTCAGGATCCATGCCCCATGCATGAAGCAGTGACAAAAGAAGTTGAGCAATTTCCATAGTGGTGTTTGTCTCCAAACCACGCACCTTCCTTCCACCTTGATCACCCACCTCATTTCCTGTTGAATGAACACTGTCTTGTGTGAGTGACTAGACATGGAGTGTGGATTGGTAATCAGATTTACTGAACACTTAACACTTGACAAATACAAATAATTATAACCATATCACTAATTTACACAATCTAAAGATCACTGTAACTACAGCACCATGAGTTCAACAGCTGTTGCTTGGTATGACTTCTAACACTGGAGAGTCTTCAGCTTCTGTGTTCATGTCCTTGCTAGGCAGTGACTGTCTCATAATTAACTAACTAACCCATAGGTTATTACTAGGAGGTTCAAATATGACCAGGACTGATTTTTTTTTGTGAACAAGCTGCACTGCACAGGAGCTGTGTGACCTTGAGAGATTGTAGCCACAACCTCCACTCTCCCTCCTGTTAGGGTTAGAATCTGTTCAGTCCTGTCTGCGAGTTGCTAGAGTGATGAGCAAACTAAAGGTACCGAGGAGCATGGAACAACGCATTGTGATCAAATTCCTCGTTACAGAAAACGTCCCGTCCGCTGAAATTCACCACAGACTCCAACAACAGTATGGGGAAGATTGTCTCTCATGGACCCATGTGTTTGAGTAGTGTAAGTGCTTCAGAGAGGGCAGAGAGTGCAAGGAGAATGAACCGCATGATCATCAGCTATGAACATTTGTCACCGAGCCAAACACTGAATGTGCAGACGCGCCTATTTGTGAGAATAGGCACATCACTATCAAGGATCTTGGAGCAATGCTGTCCATCAGTGTTGGTAGTGTAGAAGACATCGTGAAATACCACCTGCACTATCGCAAGGTGAATGCACGGTGCGTATCACGCACTTTGACGGATGTGAACAAAATGGTGCGCATGCAAGTTGCCAGTCGTCTCCTACAGCACTTTGAAGACGAAGGTGATGCATTTTTGAAGTCTATAGTGACTACCAATGAAACGCGGGTGCACTTCTTCATTCCCGAGTCCCAGCAGTCATCACGCGAGTGGCGGCATACCAGTTCTCCCAAACCCAAGAAAGTGCGGAGGAGCCGTTCGGCAGGAAAAGTGATGGCAACGTTCTTCCTAGACTGGCAGGGGCTTATCCATGTAGACTCTCTGACAAATGCCAGAACAGTCAATGCAGCTTATTACTCAGACCTCCTGGCAACAGACGTGAAGGAAAAGATCCGATCCAAGTGGAAGAGAGGTGGAAAGCGGGTAGCCTTCCTTCAAGACAATGCACGCCCCCATACGATCAAAACAACAATGGAAACCCTCTGGAAATTGAAATGGAACCTTCTGAAACATCCGCCGTACAGTCCCGATTTGGCACCAAGTGATTTCTACCTGTTCGGAAGGCTCAAATCAGACTTGCAAGGCATGCAGTTTGTGGACAACGATGCTGTCATCCAGACTTCGGGAGTGGATACACCTCCAACCACAAGCCTTTTCTTAAAAGGGCATCAGGATGCTTCTAGAATGTTGTAAAAAAATGTGTTGACTGAGGAGGGGAGTAGGTTGAAGACTGACATGTGCAAGTAAGTGTTTGGCAAGTTTGTTTAAAAAGAAAAAATCAGTCCCGGTCATATTTGAACCACCTTATATATAATGTTATATTTTAGCGTCCCGTTGCACTGATTTTCATCCATTATATGTATACAGTGGCCGTCTTGTAGTGCACTCAATTTCACCTGTTACTTCACAACATGTTTCGGCAACATAGTGCCATCATCAGGTGTCCCAATTACGTCAATCTATTGCATTGCTTGCCCTCATATGTTTTCACAACACCATTTAAAAAGTATTTAAAAAGTCTGTATTTGTCAACTATGATAAATATAACACTCCCAGCTAAGAAGGGAACACACATCACAAGATGCGGTTTACACAGAAAATAAGAAAAACGACCCCGTAGTGAACGAACCACATGCAAGTTTTAATTAAGACAAATAAGATGAATTATCTTAACAAGTTTTAGCGAGTGTAAATTTATAATAGTTGACAAATACGGACTTTTTAAATACTTTTTAAATGGTGTTGTGAAAACATATGAGGGAAAGCAATGCAATAGATTGACGTAATTGGGACACCTGATGATGGCACTATGTTGCCGAAACATGTTGTGAAGTGACAGGTGAAATTGAGTGCACTACAAGACGGCCACATTATACATATAATGGATGCACCTTATATAAATAACATTAGCATGGACAGCATAGAAAATATGGCTTACAGGACTTCTATTGCTGTGTGAATATCCAACGCTGTTGACTTGTGTTCACTGTGCCACTGCCTTGCAACAGCTGCATCTACATATTCCACTATTCCAGCTTTTCAGTCATCATGTCACAATATGAAGCATGAAGCATAATTTTATTTTTTTTTCAAAGAAAAGATTTTGTATTTTAGGTTCTCATATTGTAGCAATGACTATGAAGAGTATGATTTTGAGTGCAACATTGTGCAGCGGGGTAGGTCCACTGACATTCCTCTGAAATATAAGCACACTTCTACCTAGGGGACTGTACTCTTCAAAAGCCTTTGTAATTCAAATTTCCACATCTTATGACACATGAATCACTCTCTAAGATACACCATCAGGCTGGGAGCTTTCAACTCTTACATACAATTATATATGTTTGTCCCATTTATTTATTTAAACCTGAAATACCGACAGTATTTTAATTCTTGAGTGGAAGTGGTTATTGGAGGAAAGACTTTCAGTCTAAAACATTGGATTCTACTTAGAGAGTACTTCCATAACTTGCAACATCCCTTTTCACACTGTTTGTATCTTGCTGCTAAATGCACATAATGTATGCCTGATTCCTGCACAATTCTAAATATTATTTACTACAAGTAATGACAAAAAAATATGCTTAAGATCTTAAATACGATGGGGTACCCAAAAGAAACCAAACTAATTTTTTTGTGGGCAGAGCTTTTGTAGTACCGCATTTTGCCGCTATGAGCGCATAGCGCTAACATTCATGAGTCGATAAGCCGACTACTGTTGCTTCAGAAGGTAAGGACTAGTTCGGCAGAGTTTATAGTGACAACTGTTTTGTGTGATCATCGTTTTTGTAATGGCTGATTTTCATGAACAGTGTGCGGCAGTGAAATTCTGCCTTTTGCTCGGGAAAAGTGGAACAGAAACTCTTGAAATGTTAAAAACGGCGTACAAGGAAGATGCTATGGGGAAAACTCAAGTGTTTGAGTGGTTTTCCCGTTTCAAAAATGGTGAAATGTCAATTTGATGACAAACCTCGTTCTGGTCATCCTTCCACGGCCCGAACACATGAAAATGTTGAAAAAATTCGTGAAATCATCAAGGAAGATTGACGACGGACCATTGAAGAAATTGTGGAGCTGTCGGGAGTGACTTGGAGCTCAGCGGCCAGATTTTTGGCAGTCGGGTGACTGGTTTTTCCATCACGACAATGCCCCTGCTCACACAGCCCTGTCTGTACGACAATTTTTGACCAAAAATGGTATGACCCCTGTTCCTCACCCTCCATACTAACCTGACCTTGCCCCGAGTGACTTTTTTTTTGTTTCCTCAAATGAAAAGAGACATGAAAGGAAAAAACGACAGAGGCGCTGTCAAGCATCTCAAAAGATGAATTTAGACAATGTTTTGAAAAATGGAATAAAAGACTAGACAAGTGTATTAGTGTAAGTGGAGAGTACTTTGAAGGGGATTGAAGGTTTGTGCTTAAAATTTGAATAACTAAGTTAAAAAAAAATAAGTTCGGTTTCTTTTGGGTACCCCCTCGTATATATGTATACAATCACATGTACACAATTGTCTTGGAAGATAATAAAGGAATTACAATAATTTTAATGGTGTTGTTCTACACTGTAAAATGGTCAAATGGATCTCATTTTACTGGTTCACTGATTGATTGATCAGTAACTGTCAGATGACAGGTCCACAGTCTCTTCCAAAACAGTTCCTCCACTTAATGTGGAGCAATAATTGTAACAATGTTCTGATTTGAATACGCTATGTGTGTGTGAAAAATAAATTTACTGCACTTCCCTCGTTATCAGAAACTAAAAGACTACATAATTTAATTAAGTGGTAAATATTTCCAAACAATACATGAGCAAATAATGAATTCAGTGTGTCAATACTTCTGACTTTCATAGAAGAATATTTTTGATTTGCCTGAAATAGACAATACACACAATAAGAGATCTGAGGTTCTCATGGTGGGGGGTACGAAGATTACTGTTGTGTGCAATGTGATGTCATGCGGTCTGGTAGATGTTTACTGGTTTCTCAAGGGAAAGATGGCATATATCTACAACAGTATACGGTGTCACATCCTAGACCAGGGGTCAGCAAAGATTTTTCGTAAAGGGCCAAATATAAAACACATTACACTCTGAGGGCCAAGAGGCAAACTCGGGGATCTTTAAAGGTCGGTACAGTTAAAATAACAGGTTAAAAAACAAGTTTTCACAAATTTACTGGTGAAAATATAACATAATAAAAATACAAAAGGAACTACAATCATTGTTTGAAACACAGCTTTAGGCTACTAATGGGATGAATGAAATTGTTTTTTATTTGAGATAACATTTCTTCAAATTGGGGGTCAAAGTTAGTACTTCCTATCATCATAATTGATTGCAAATGTTCGTCTGTTAATGCTGACCTGTATTGAGGTTTTACATATTTCATCTTTGAAAATGTCTTTTCACACAGGTAGGTACTACCAAATACAGAGATCAAACCTCGAGCATATGATCTTAATTCACCATATTCATCACTTGGAAGACACTTATAGAATTCTGTTAGATTGTTCTCTTGGAATTTGCCTTTTAGCATGTTATCACACTGCAGATTAATCACTTCCAATTGAAGGTTAGGTGGAAGTTCCTCAATTGTACAGTTAAATGGATTTTCAAATCTGGAAATGTCTTCTGCACTTGCATCAAGATCCGAAAAACGTTGCTGGAACTGTTTTTTGAGCTCAGAAAATATATCACCTGCAAATTCGTGCGGGAATGGGGAATCCACTTCTTCTTTTAATGTTTGACAGCATGGGAAATGCACGAAACAGCTTGACATGATTTGTGACTCAATCAAAGCCAGTTGTCGTCGAAATGATTTTACCGCAGTATAAGTTTCACATATTAGCACTGTTTTGCCTTGTAGCTTCAAGTTGAATCCATTAAGAAATCCCATGATATCAGCAGCAAAAGCTAATTTCCAAAGCCATTCAGTGTTCGATAATAGTGGTTGAGGGCGTTTTTTCTCATTGAGAAAAATTTCAATCTCTGCTCTGAGTTCAAAAAATCTTAATAAAACTTTACCACTGCTGAGCCATCGAACTGCTGTGTGGTAGGGTAAGTCAGGATATTCGGCTTCCACTTCTGACAGAAAATCACGGAACTGACGATGGTTCAGCCCACGAGAACGAATGAAGTTCACCGTTGACACGACTGGTTCTAAAACACACGACAGATTAAGATATTTGCCACAAAGTACATGCTGGTGAATGATACAATGAATAACCATAGGCCTTGTACACCTTGCATTTTCACAAGCTGTGTAAATGCTTCCAACTAAGCCTTTACCTGTTCCAGACATATTTTTACCACCATCAGTTGTCACACATTTTAGCTGATTCCACTTCAGATTGTACTTCGTTAACATTTCCTCAACTTCCTTGAAAATGTCTTCGCCTGTAGTTGTTCCACGCAGACTATTCATAGAAGCTAATTCTTCAGTCACTTCAAAGTCAGCATTGACTCCTCGAATAAACAGCAGCAATTGAGCAGTATCTGTAATGTCTGTCGACTCATCAAGAGCTAAGGAAAACCACTCGAAATCATTTGCCTTGTTAATTAATTGGTTAGTGATGTTGCTACCAATGTCCTCAACTCTTCGGGCAACTGTTCTCGCGGAAAGGCTGATATTATTAAATAAATCCATTTTCTCTGGACACATTTCTTCAACTGCTACAATCAAACATGATTTAATTAACTCACCATCAGTAAAGGGTTTTCCTTCCTTGGCTAACAAATGAGCTACTCGTAGACTTACTTTACTTGCAGCCTTATTTTCATTTTTCATTTTCGTGAAGAAACTGCGTTGTAATGAAATACTCCGTTTCAAAGTTTCTAATTTTTGTGATCGTTCCTTCCCTGTGAGTTGGGAATACTGTGCCGAATGCTTAGTCTGGTAATGCCGACGTATATTGTACTCTTTTAGTACAGCTATAGTATCACTGCACAATAAACACAATGCTTTGCCATCTAATTCAGTAACAAAATAATTCTCACTCCACTCTGCCTTAAAAGCACGACATTCCAAGTCCACTTTTCTCTTCTTTTGTGGTTTCGACAGCGACATGATGGATATCCACTGGTATTAAAACGACACAGAACAGCGATACACGTGGCATTCGTAACACTGCGTGTCATCACAGCTGGGGCCACGAAGGAACGTGCGAATGGGAAGCTATAGGAGCGCCACACACAGAAATTCTCGCAATTCCTCAACTCAAGGTCAGCCGTTGGAGTGCGTAATCATCCATAGACAATATGTTCGAAAAAACGTAGGTTTCTTCCTTTAAATAAAGCTTCATAGACGCAGAAATATTAAACTCATATTATAATAATTATCTTGTTTCATGAAATATTATCCCACTTTGACATTTTTAAGAGTTTGGAAATGTAAAATCTATTCTTAGCGCGCGGGCCGCAGAAAAAGCAGCGGCGGGCCGGAGTTGGCCCGCGGGCCGTAGTTTGCTGACCCATGTCCTAGACAATGAAGCAATCTGCATCTCAGTCAGGCATCTTTACACAAATAATTTGAAATACAATTCACAACAGTTTATTTAAACAACTGTCTGAATTTTGTGTAACATTCTAAAACAGCAACAGAAACTACAACTTGAAAATCGTTATTCACTTTATATATGCTGTATATTTGCACTTAATTAAATCTTTCAGCAATTATGAGTTCTATCTTCTGCAATATAATGCTGTGTACCCTGGTTACCTTCAGTCAGAGTAGCTGGTGTCCCAGCCAAGATCTGATTTGGTCATCTCTTGAACAGAAGTCAAAAGTATTACCACATGAAGTAATCTGCTCAGTGTAATTTAAATGAGAATAATACTGTCTTGTTCTATACCTCAAGAGACCTACAACTATCCTGGGGTGGTAATGGAATGAACTGTAAACCGAATACAGGGCAGCCATAAAAAGCTGGACTGGCTACTTGAAGACCAGAATACTTTCACTGTACTAAATGCCTGGGAAAGCAGAGATATACTTGCCATAAGATATGAGGTGAATTTGTAACATGAGAACTAATGTTTGAAGAAGCTCAACTGCATAATCACTCAGAAGACATTTTCTATAAAATCAATTACTATAAACTATGTATCCTTTTCATCTTTTCATAAAGGATTTGAAGCCACTAAAAATTTCGCACTTTTATTCATAAGTGTTATTAAATTTTTGTTGGAGAAAATTATCACTGATATTATTTCTACTCGCAGAAACACAAAAAAAAAAAAAAAAAAAAATTCCGCCCTTTACCTCCCAGGAATATTCCTGGTACGCATTTCTGTCAGAGGCTGAGTCGACCCCAGAGCCACAGTGCGGCTGGAATAATTAGGCCACACTTGTAATGTGGAAGGTTTAATTACCTTCGTGTTAAAATGGGAAGATTTTAACTGAAACTGCTTACATCATCTAGACGGGTACTATATAAGTGGTACCTATTACCATACTTAATTATTATTAACTGTAAACATGTAAGATGANTCCACTAAGAGGAACCTGAATATTTTACTTGGACGGTTTTAACTTTAATTTTAACATTAACGACCCGCTTTGTGGGTGATTTTTTAAATGCAAGTGGGATACCCGCACTCGGGGTACTAGATGTTGTTGTGTTTTACGCTCCGATACGTGTAACATCTTCCACAAAAAACTGTATATTGTGATTGTTGAGCAGTGCAAGTGTTTCCATATTTTTGTTGTGGATGCCTCTGATGATGGCTCTTTGTGAGCCGAAACATGTAAGGCAAATGTGAGGAAATGGTGACAAGAATATATATTGTTACACTCGACGGAGGTTCTATTGGTAGTTGGTGATTGATAGTGTAACGGACCAAAATGAAACAATTCAAAACTTTAAAGTTGACTTTTGCTGGGGACTATAACTTGTATAAATACTGTGTGTGTTATGTTACATATATTATAACAAGCTAGAAACACCACCACAAAGTCTGGAACACTGTTAGAAGTCAATGCATGCTACAGAGTTACTTTTGAACCAAACAGATGTCCATTCACATGAAATTAATTACTCCAGATTAATTACTCAGTCGTAACTGCTTACCCTTCCCGTCGACCTGGATGGGTTTGAAACCAACAATCTCAGCATGTGCTTGTAGTTTGGTCTGAACATTCTCCGCACCTTCCTTCATTTTGGCCAGGATTCCTACACCACAACATGATGGAGTCATGCACACACCAACGTTACAATCCCAACAACCAAGACATCGCTTTTCATGCAACATGGAATATGTTTCATACACACAAAAGTCATTACGAGTATATACAAATGTAGCCTTTAAAGCCAGGCCCTTTGAGATGTGAATTTCTTTCTTTTAATTAAATGTTACATAGCATGTTAATATTACAAAATGAGCCAGAATATGATATCCAGAAAATAAATTCTGACAGCACGCAACCTGGAAAAACAATATTATATACAGGCTGTAACTGAAAACTGCTGACAAATTTTGTGCATGAGTTCCACATACCAAAACAAGAAAAAATGTGTATATCAACACGTGTCCAGAAACACTTAATTTCAGAGTTACAGCTCAAAGAATATTATGTAGACACCACCAACAGTTCAGCACTAATGTGTGGGCATGAATTGTTGGCGATTGTTTGGTAGGCCCACATGTTTTGCCACATCAGTTTACAGGCACAAATACCAAGATTTCCTCTAAAATGATCTGCCAAAGTTACTGGAAATGTACCACTGGCAGTCAGACCACAAATGTAGAACATGCATGATGGTATGAAGATGCTTAAGCGCATTTTAGTCATGCTGCACGAGATGTTCTCAGTTAAAACCTATCATGACCAGTGGATAGGTGGAGAAGGACCCATTGTATGGCTTCCACACTCACCACATTTGATCCTCTATAGACTTTTACTGTGGGGGATACCTAAAAACCCTTGTGTACTCCAGCTCCTGTTGACAATGAAAAGGCACTTCACCACAGCATTGTGTATGCCTGTCAAACTATCTCCAACTACCCCAGTGTCTTTGAACAGATGTGGCACCCATCATGAAATATGTCGAGGTGTGCAATGAATCTCACTGAGGACACTTTGAGCACTTATTACAAATGTACTCTTTCAGCTATACCTCACAAATTAAATGTTTTCAGACACATGTTGATATGGACATTTTTTCTTGTTTGGTATGTGGAACTCATGCACAAATTTGTCTGCACCTTTCAGTTACACCAACATAATAGGCTTGAGAATGTTAAATTTGCTGCTCTAACTAGTTTATTTCAAAGAATACATAGAGAAATGTAAGCCTAATGAACTCGCGGTCTTTGGGGCAACACCACTGATCCAGTTGAACATTATAATTAATTGTTTTGAAGAGAAAAAAGCAACATCTTAAACAATTCGTGCTCATATTTAGTTTGCTTCTATACTATAATTACACTAATCTGATCCTTATGTCTATTCTTAAGTTCTCACACACTTCAAAATGTGTTATTAATTATTCATTTACACTTTCTATGGTAGGATTCTGACAGAAACCATGAACACAAAAATGAGTCATGGGAAGAGCACCAAAGCAGGAAGAGTAGAACGACCCAACAATATTCAAATCCCTGTTTTACACAAGATAGAAACAAATTAACAATGTAAACAGAAAGTTAGTACCATGCCTGTCCTTTTCCTTCAGAGTCCGCTCCAAATCACCAGCTTTGTCCTTCACCCGGCCAAAGAAGTCTGCCATGTAGCAACCACCACGTTAATTAAGCATTAGGAAGAGGAAACAATGTTAGCTCACAATGCAAGAAGCAAACAGCAGCAGTACAACAAGCTCTTTCATTTCATTCTGAAGAAATCTGAAGGAAGAAAACACATTTCTGCTTAACTCTTTTCCATTGCTACGGTCTGTCTCCCTTACATAAATGCCAGTTCTACAGATGTTGAACATAATACAGGGTGGGGTAGGGGATTACTTTTGGGGAAAACGCTTAATTTATGTATTAGATGTCATTTGCTTCTACTCTGAAATGATATTATTAGAAAACAGTGTTTTCAAAAGAGGGTCTCACTATAAGCTGGCATATTTATTAAAAAAATTGATATTTTACTTATATAATTGTCAAGTTCATAAGGCTAATTTAAAGTTTATTCAGAAATGTTCCTAAAATGCTGGAGTGCAATTCTGAAAATATTCTGTAGATCCAGCTAAATAAATAAACAACTTGAAAATAAAAATTATGAGTTGAATGCAGTTTTGTATTAACGTACAGAAACACCTTCATATGGAAGATTTAATCAACTGCACATCCCTCTAAACAGTTCTTCTCAATAAAAATATTCAAATGAAAATGAAATTATATTATATTTAAGCATCATGTTGTACGATACACTTCTATATATAATAATACAAATACCATCGTGAATGCAACAATTTATTTGGTTGTAGTTCGTCTTTTCTTCCGCTACACTGCATGTTTCGGCCGTAACTGGCCATCATCAGGTGTATGAATTGATGAGCGTATGTTGGCGAGATTTTAAACAAAACTGACAGGCTGCTGTTTTAGATTTTGGAGTGTGCAGTGTGACAGCTACGTAGTGAAAAATACACCTGATGATTGCCAGTTACAGCCAAAACACGCAGTGTAGAGGAAGAAAAGACAAAGAACTACAACCAAATAAATTGTTGCATTCATGTTTCGGCCGTAACTGGCCATCATCAGGTGTATGAATTGATGAGCGTATGTTGGCGAGATTTTAAACAAAACTGACAGGCTGCTGTTTTAGATTTTGGAGTGTGCAGTGTGACAGCTACGTAGTGAAAAATACACCTGATGATTGCCAGTTACAGCCAAAACACGCAGTGTAGAGGAAGAAAAGACAAAGAACTACAACCAAATAAATTGTTGCATTCATGTTTCGGCCGTAACTGGCCATCATCAGGTGTATGAATTGATGAGCGTATGTTGGCGAGATTTTAAACAAAACTGACAGGCTGCTGTTTTAGATTTTGGAGTGTGCAGTGTGACAGCTACGTAGTGAAAAATACACCTGATGATTGCCAGTTACAGCCAAAACACGCAGTGTAGAGGAAGAAAAGACAAAGAACTACAACCAAATAAATTGTTGCATTCATGTTTCGGCCGTAACTGGCCATCATCAGGTGTATGAATTGATGAGCGTATGTTGGCGAGATTTTAAACAAAACTGACAGGCTGCTGTTTGAAAAATACACCTGATGATTGCCAGTTACAGCCAAAACACGCAGTGTAGAGGAAGAAAAGTCAAAGAACTACAACCAAATAAATTGTTGCATTCATGACGGCATTTATATTATTATATATAGAAAATGAAATTCCCCCAACACCCACTTCTATACAGAGTGTCCCAGGAGGAATGTGCCAAACTTTGGGAGGGTGTTCCTTATGTTAAAAAAGATGCTGATATAACCCAAACGACCTATGTCCAAAGTTGAATGGTTACGGAGATAATGACCAGAGAAGTGTGAAACTTTGACCGGTGTTACACACTTGTGGATTACAAAATACATATTAAAACTGGCAGGAATATGTTTTTTCTGTAATGTTAATAATGTACGTAACATCAAACTAACTTGTGAGTGACATGAAGCCATAAAATTGAAGTACAAAATACTCGCTCGCCATGTCATAATTGTCCTTAGGTTTCCAAGCACTATACATGACACATGACTGGCAAGCGCTGACGTAACATGGATGACTGCGCACAGCGGTATAAACAGACTACATAACTGTATTAAACGTACATTCACGGAAAACCTCTTTTGGAATTTCGTTTCCATTATATCATGTGGATTATTATGGGCCCACGTATGCACATTTCATAAATTATTTACACCGTCCAGTGTAAAAGACGTCTCATCATTGAATAAAATGACGCTTAACAGTTTGGGATGAGCTTTTATCCAGTGGCACAAATCCATACGCTGTGCATGGTCCCCTGGTTCCAGATGTTGTACCCTTTGATCATGGTAAGGATACAACTCTTCATCATGTAAAGTTCGCCACACCTGCATACGTGATCGTCGATGCGACAGGCCATTCTACAAGTGGACAGACGCAGACTTCTCTGAACCATCTCAAGAACGTTCTCTCATGTGTTTATCATTCGTACATTATCCCTTTCAGAGTGCACAGAAACACTCAGAAGAAAACCAGTATCACGCAATGTCTGGTGAATTCGCATAAATACACTTCACCATGTAATCCTTCGATCGGGAAATGGCCTTTGGTATTCTTCAACAGCAGCACGTGCATTGCCACCACAAAATCCATATCACAATATTCCACATGTGAAAACACAAAAGGCATTTCAGCAACTCCGCACAATTAACCTACCACCCATTCACGACCCAGCCACAACATATACTGATGGGAGCTTACGGCTAGTGTGAATCACCACACACAAGGACAAACATAGATAAAGCGTCTCAGCTGACAGGTATAGTGCGTGGACCCGCCAGAAGACCACACTTTTCTCGGGCCATTATCTCCGTAACCGTTCAACTTTGGACATACGTGTTTTGGGTTATATCGGCATACTTTAACATAAGGAACACCCTCCCAAAGTTTGGCACATTCCTCGTGGGACACCCTCTATATATTGTGTTAATGCTGTTGTGTATCCCTTACCCTGAAAATACAATGAAAATGACTATGCTCTTTCCTGTCTAAGCCTACAGTATTAGTTCAGAGCATTCTCTTTATAAATAGATATGCAAATAGAATTTCTTATCTAAATAAGCTGATTTAAGCTAGATTTTGGGTTCTCATGGCCATGACTATGAAGAGTGCTATATGTAAGTACAGGGTATCACATCCCAAAAGACAGTGCTGTTAAGCTGATCTATCTGTAGGTTCAGGGATATGGCTTATATTCACATAACTTCAATTCTGATTGCAACCTTCCAAAACTCTGAAGTTAACTGTTTACACATATCAGAATGCGGGCTAAATGCCATTAACTGTCATTCCAGACCCTAACGAGATACAAACAGTTGAAAAGAAAGAAGGTAAGTCAGAGAGTAACATTTTATGAAGTTAACTGAGGTTAAGAAGCACATAAACTCACAATCAGAAACAAATTCACTTCACAGCCTAGGCCATATCTAGTTCACACACCCAAAACAAAAAGAGTAAGTTTACCTGCTATTTTCTTATGAGCATCAGGAGAAGCAGACTGTGTAAGTGCTGCAACTTTCTGGTACTCTGCTTGGTTGATGAGTCCCTGAGCTTCCAAAGTACCAGGTGACATGGTACTGTATTCTTCAGTTAGAAGTTGCACTATAAGCAAATTGTAAACATGCTTCCTGAGCATGTTCATGCTACTGCCATGTAAAGCACTTAAGAATGGGAAGTAATTCAGGACAGAATAGTAACTGGAATTCACATTCAACAGACAACATATATGCTAGCATACACCCTCCCTTCATTGACTCTCCACATTAAATTCTGTATAATAAAGAACTTGACAATGAAGACCTCAGCAAAAGCATATTTCTATTGCAAATTTAACATCATTTTATTTTTTAACTTAATATTTGAAACTAAAACACAGTTCACTCAAACTCAATATCTTACAGTAACAAATAGCTCTCTTAATTGGTGATTAAATAGAAAAAAGTAAAAGAGAACTTTTCAATGAAAGTACAACTTTATTTACCAAAGGCACCTCAGAACCTCTTAACATTATATATCAAATGGAGGATACAAGGGTGCTATATGAACTAAAACTGTACTATATTCTTACATTCATGTTTATCTGTAAAATCCAGAACTAATTCAAATTATGCATGCAATTTGTACTAAAACCAACACGACTCATGACTGTTCTTCCACAACATAAAAACAGAAGCAAAGAAAAAAGTCAGACAAGAAACAGCAATTATGGAATGACCAGTATATTTGATCAGACATTACAACAAAAGGGAATATAAATTATCATCAATAAAGTTTCACAGAGAGAAATTCAAGTAAAACCCAAAGTAACAGTGACCAATGTTACAAAAATTAAAGCTACCCTGTTTCACAAAACAATCACACATTTGCATGATGAAACATTTGTACAACAGAAGAAGAAGAAGAAGTAGGAACAAGAGGAAAACAGCAGCAACAACAAAGCTATTCAACCATTCTCTGATCTAGCAGAAGCTACTAATCACTAGGAAAAGGAATGTAGTACCCTCTTTGGAACAAGACGGTTCAGGAAAATTCAATAAAACTAAATATTTTCTATATACAGCTACTTCAAAAATATCTCATTACATCTTAATTAAAATAATATACAGTATAATTATCTAAAAACATTGGGACATAAAGGATTAAACATACATTTTCATGATAAATATCACATAATATACTTGTCAAAACAGACATTTAAATAGCACAAATTATAACAGGAGGAGCAGACAGAAAAGAAGGGGGTTAAGGAAGACTGCAACTCAGTGTAAACAATACACTGAATTGAAAAGCACATCTACATATACAGTTCATACATAGGTAGGCTTGGTATGTGACATCAGTTTGAGTGGTTTGAGTGGTTTTAGTACTTGAGTAAAGTGTTCTCATGAGTCCAAGTTCAAGTAGTGTCATGCTGTTTGAGGTTGAGGTCTGACTCAGACATACAACGCATACAACCTGAAGATAGCTACATGATACAAGTGGCAGTAAAATAAAGTCCATTCTATCAGGTTTACTCTGCTGATGGTGGTACACTGCCTTCATGATGTATGGAGGCAGCAGGATCCATACATATTATATCCACTAAGTCTGAGTAATACAGATTACACAGACAAAGCTAGCAAATCAACAAATCATTAACAGTATATAAAACAATTCTTAGTATATCAGCATCGTAACATGAAATTATTTATTTTAATAAAAACAGAACCATACCTATGAGTGCCTCAATGTCAAACACCAATATGTGTGACTCTGGATCTTTGGGGTTTGTGCGCAGGCCTTGGATCATAAGGGGCAATGCTCGACTTTTCTGTTGGTCACTACCATCCGGATTGGTGGCATGATGAAGCTGCTGCAATTGATGTAATCCTCGCTGTAATAAAATGGATACTTACAGATAACTATTCAGCTTAAACAGTCAGTTACTGTGAAGAGTACTATCTTCTGGCATACAACACCGTTAGTCTATTAACTATATGAAGTATATCCCATGAGATAAAATCCTTAATAACCACTGCTGTGAGGATCTCAAAATTCTACACAGCCATTCACTTATTTATTCAATTTATTTATGGCTTACTTAACACCACTGCCAGTAGCTAAGACTGTAAAACATTGAATGACAGGACATTTAATGCAAGATGAGCTGGAAAGGATGTGCAAAGAAGCAGTTATAACGTAATTTGAGGTGTAATCCCAGCATCTGACATTGAGCAAAAAATGAAAAACTTCAGTCAGGATAATCAGTGTTCCAGCCAAGATTTGAATCAGGCACCATAAAACATAAGTGAAAAGTGTTACTGCTTGAGCCACCTTGCTTAATAACTCATATTCAATAACATATTTTCATGAGGAGTGATCGTTCATATTTTACTTCCACCACAGGCCACAACATTTAGGCTTTAACCCTGTATTGTGCAGCAGAAACTAGTAACAATTTAATGTTCTCCATTGCATTTACTGCAGCATGTAATGCAGTGCATCAAGTAAGTTTATATTAACTGCACTAACATTAGGAGCTGTGGATTTAAATATTGCAGCAATGGATTAATAAATTCCCTGAAAGCTTTTTAAGTGGGAATCCAAGTCATTCACTTCCTACTGGATGGTAATTTATGATTTTGGAACCTATGATCTTCCATTCAATGGGCATTTTTAAAGGAATTATTTCTGTATATATGAACAGTTTTCCTTAGTTGACTCAAGTCTTGAGAATATGTAGAACATCTTCCTCTCTTTTGCAGATGAGAACAGTGCTGTCCTTCTTAAAAACTCTCAAAATAGTTCTGATATAGGTTTGGAACACATCTTTGGACTAAGTTTATGTCCAAATATGTCTGATGTGCTGGAAGAACATCGCTTAACAGCTGGTTATGAATAGTATTTAGAGTCTTATATTAGCAAAATATTTTTGTTTAATTTAAGTTACGTAAGTTTATGTTGTGAAGGTGGGAAAGGCAGCCAGGTAATATGAAACAAAAAATAATACATAACTCATTTATATTCAGTTTTGAAATTTCTTTTACTTCATCCAAAATGTCATATAACAAGAAAGTTATTCAGATTATAACTTGTCCATAATGAAATCAACATAATTAATCTCTTCTTATACTAAAAATTGAATAAATAATAAAAAGAGGGCAAATTATCTGCTTCCTCTTCTCCATCTTGCTTTACATTTACACTATTAGTTACTCTCTCTTTTGGACAGTCAGTGATTTTTTTCAATCAGACATATGTCTCCAGATATTATGGCTGTCTTCTTAGGTATACCCAGAAGCTTAGAGAAAGTTTTTCACATTTTCACATATGTCACAAAGTTAATCACAATTTAAAATTTGAAGTATCCTCATATATTCTCATACAAATCATGAACCCAAGATTTCAATCACGAACATTTTTAAGTGTGCAAAATATGTGACAAAACATGACATACCAATATTCCATACTGCTAACCTTTAAGGGACAGGCCATTTAAATTCTGGTAATGGCTGCGGGCCGGAGTTAATTTAAATGCCCGCCATTGTAGTGTATTAAAAATTGTAATCATGTTACTGAAAATGCCGTGATTTCTGCAATTTTTGTGATAAACGAACGAAATAAGCGCTGCTTTTATCTAGAAAGAATACAGAATCAGCTATTGTAATTTACAGATTTTAGAATCTGTAAAAATTGTTACCCTGATTCCAAAAAAAAATGTTTCCCTCAATTTCAAACGTGTCTGCACAAAACGTTTCTGCTGTACAAATGCCTGCTGCTGACATCATTCGTACTCTCATACTATCTTATCTGGCAAGTGTGTTGGAAGCTTATGTTTATAAAGTGCGTTCCAAGTGACTAGACCCTCTCTGTACACACAAGTGTGGACGAAGCTATCGTATTGTCCTTGACACTCTCAGCCTGTTTATATCTGAGAGGAGCCACAAGCGATACTGTTCTCCGAACTGCATAAACAGTACTGCCAGAACTTCCAAGCATAGTGCGTTGTGAAGTGAAAAGAACATCCACCATGGCCTCGTTTTGCTTGGAAGAAGATGAAATTGAGACCCAGCTGCTCAATGATACAGATTCAGACTGTGCCACAGAAACCTCAGAGAGCAGTGAGGAAGAAAGAGATTCAGAAATTGAAGCAGACAAAGACCCTTCATCTTCGTCGTCAACCTGGGGACCACCAGACCAGCATGGCAGGAGGCGTGTGAATAATTATTCCGGTGGAGCTGTGGGGTTAAATATCAATGAAGCTCCACATGTAAATAAGGATCCCACCCCTTTCTGCGTTTTCATGTTCTACTTTGCAGGGATTAACCATCTGCTGGTGGAAGAGACGAACAGGTACTACCACCAGTACCTAGACAAACTTCAAGACGGACCTTCTTCGCAGCCTGACATGACCGATTCCGAGATGTTTCTGTTCCTAGGAATAATCATTCAAATGGGACATGACATCAGAGACAGACTAAAGGACTACTGGTTGACTGCAGAACAATTTGCCATGCCTTTCTACTCTAACACAATGAAATGCGACCGTTTTCTACACATTCTTCATTTTCTTCATTTTGCAGACAACAATACAGAAACTGACAGGAATGCCAACAGTTATGACCGACTATGGAAAATTCGGACCATCTTTGACACTCTCAATGACGCATATGAAAAATATTATAACCCTTCCGAACATTTGGCCATAGACGAGATTATTGTTAAATTCAAAGGGAGGGTGGTTTTTAGGCAGTACATTCCTAAGAAACACAAACGTTTCGGAATTAAAATCTTCAAAATTTGTGACGCCACTGGGTATATTTATGACATAAGATTTATCTAGGAAAAGATAGGACACATGCCGACCAAGACGTGACAGCAACACATGCTACAGTTAGGGACCTATGCAGACGTATTGAGGGCGTAGGTCACAAACCGTACATGGACAATTTCTTTTCGTCACCAGACTTGTTTGAGGAACTGATGACAAAGGACATAACGTGCTGTGGGACAGTCAGACCTAATCGGGAGGGCTTGCCTGACGATTTTCAATTAAGACAATTTTGACTGAAGAAAGGTGACATTCGTGTTTACAGCACTAGTTTGGAAGGACAAACATGTTTACATACTGACAAACATGCACTGTCCTCCAGCAGAAGGCAGTTTCTGTGATGAGCATGGAAATGCCATCAAGCCAGCAATTGTTGCTGATTACAACATGGACATGGGTTATGTCGACAAAGCGGACAGAATGGCAAACAGTTATAGCATCAGTCGTCGGACCTGGAAATGGACAAATAAACTATTTTTCCATTTCCTGGATATGACGATTCTGAACAGTTTCATTCTGTTGTCATCCTGTGGTACGAAATTGTCACACAGAGAATTTCGTCTCGCCCTTGTGCGCAACATGCTGGAACATGCTTCAAGGGGTTCGCCTCGCCCTCAACGGTCCATGGGTCGACCTCCTGCTGTGTCATCGGCAATATCTCGACTAGAGGAGGCCACTCGACATCACTGGCCGATTTCCTCTACTTCGAGATTGAGATATCGTGTGTGCTCTTTGCGTAGGAAACGAAGTTACATCGGGACAAAATGCGTGAAGTGCGACGTTGGACTCTGCATTTCCGGATGTTTCCAACAGTTCCACACGAAGGTAACATTCAGTTAGATGACGCAGGGGGGAAGACAGTCTACTTATAAAGCTCGTGTCCAAAAATAATGTAAGTAGAACAAGAATTTCTATCTTAGAATTAGATTTTAAAACACTGTGTGCATGCGTGGACTGCAAGTCACCATACGGTGTCATTCGGCCACTCGGCTTTACTTTAAAGGTCCCCATATGGTGTCTTTCGGCTCTTAAAGGTTAAGCACGTCCAGGTAGCTTCTGTATCAGATCTTCATATGATGATGTTTTTTTTTTGCCTGGATAATTAACATATTTCTCACTTTACAGATAATGCTATGAAAAAATTGCAACATTTTAAAAATACAACAGCAAACAATCATTAGGTTATCAGGTAACTCTTGTACCTGTGTCGCATGTCTGATTGCAGACAGATTACGATGGCGAAGGCCACGAAAGAAGTGGACAGCTGGATTAGCAAGACCAACATCACCAGAACTGGAAGCTGCAGGGTTCTCATCACATGCATACAGCACCTCTTCAGCACTGATACCATGCAGAACTCTGTCCAAATGGCCTACAGAGAGAACACACATATTGTTAAATGAGCTAAGAGTGTCAGTTTCCATTTTTGCTACAGGGGTTATGATGATAATACAGGACATTACAGATTTGTATACATTACAAACAAGATACAACTGGATGGAATGAAGGTTCAAGAATCCGGACAAAACAATAAACATTCTCACCAAAACAGTCACCTCTCCAATTTGTTCCACAAATATTATGAACATACGATAGCTACAATATACTACACGGAGTTACTAATTTAGTCATAAAATGTATGGAATAGGGAAATGTGCATGAAACATAAAAAGAGAAAGTGAGATTTAATTTTTCAACTTATCAATATGACCTCCCATACATTTCTGAGCTTTCCTCTTTTATTTTTATTTCCCTTATTGAAAATTGTATTCAGAATATACAAAATATTCTTCATTCATAATCCTTGGCACACACTTGTTACTCTTGTAACAAGACACATCTAACAAATTAAATGTTTTAATTATCATAAGCTCAGCACGCTCACTTTTATATCAAGAAACACTGCTATTTATACATTTGCATATAAGGATCTTTTATACATAACAGGCTGTCAATGGACCCTATCCTTAGCTAGTCCAATCCAGCTGACAATCAAACTCCTTAAGGTTGAGTTCAAAATTATCCTCTAAAATTGTTTCCTTTCATTTTTCTGCTCAAAGTGTTGCATGTATTCATCATCTCCTTCATGTATGAGGTAAATGAAATTATTAGGGATCATGAGTGTGGATTTCAATGCAACAGATTAACTTGTGGTCACATAAATGGCACTGTTGCAAGTGAACAAAGATGTTCTACTGACTACTCTTAGATGTCCTAACATTATGTTCTACAGTCTCTCTTATTGACTATTTTCCTTAGGTATTCAAATTCAGCAAGTTCCAAGTTACATCCATCCTCTATAAAACATTTCCCAAAGTCACTTACATAAAGAAGCAAATGACAACAATTTTAAGTGATCTCAAAAAGTACCCCTGGAAATCTTGTATTAAAACACATAAAAGAATGACATCAGTAATATTCCAGCATACATTTCAACATACCTGTTTCCATCTGCCACACATAAACTGTTCCATCACTGCAACCAACAATCATGAAGTCATCTAAAGGACGCCACTTGATTGTAACAACTGGGAACAGGTGTCGTGATGCCAGTACAACACATTTTCTCTCAGTAAGTCCCAGAAGTGTAACTGAATGATCACTTGCAATACTGCACACACACTTCTGGATACGTTGCTGAAATTTAACAAAAGAGAAGTAAATAAAAGGTAAATCACTGTGCCAGCCTGCTCAGTATACTACAAACAGGAATGAAGAAATGTGTTTTTCTCAATGGTTATGCACAATATTCCATTTGGCTTCTTTGTTAGATAAGACAAATAATTATCTTAGAATCCAAACAACTTCCTTTGTATTAAAATTCTATCAAAAAAAAACCTCTTTACACACAGCAACTTTCAACATTCTGTGAATCAAAGATTATTTATAAATTATAAATCACTCCATTCAATGTGACCTGTAAGTTTTTTACTACATAAAAACTTAACACCCTTACATGTTTCGGTCTCTGTGGACCATCTTCAGAGGGCAAACATCACTACAAATAGGAAACCTCTATCACATAATTTGTTTACACGTAAAGTACGTACACTTATATGTTACAATACATAGTACACAGAATAGAACATTTCACAAACACAGCAGTTTCCTGGGAATGTAAGTATTAAAAAAATTGTATAAAATTCCTTGATGCTAATTAAAAGTTTTTTAGATTGTCAATAATTAAAATTCGTAAACCATGCAGGCTCGTGTTCGTCCTCCCATCATCTCTCTTATATGGGGCAGATATTGTGCCACCTGGCTATCTTGATGTGGAGGTTCTGCAAATATATTATCAAGATAGCCAGGTGGCACAATATCTGCCCCATATAAGAGAGACGATGGGAGGACGAACACGAGCCTGCATGGTTTACGAATTTTAATTATTGACAATCTAAAAAACTTTTAATTAGCATCAAGGAATTTTATACAATTTTTTTAATACTTACATTCCCANTTATTTGTATCATAATATTTATAAACCATCTGGTACATTTCAGACTGCTTACATCTATTGCAGTATGTGATAATCCATTAATGGTACCAAATAACTGACATTTCCAGAGTATCCAGTAAGCCAGAGTTTTTCTTTATGACAGCTTCCTACAAGTGGAGACCAAAATAGACCACTTTTCAACAGGAGAGATAGGCCATAATGTATTTGAAGAGAGGGCAGATAAATTAAATTAAGTCACTTCTTTAATACAGTTTGATAAACATATCACTCTTGCTTATTATCATGTGCCTGCAGTAACATACTTACACTGCATGAATTAGGTGGCACAAGAAGCTGAGTGATCTCACCAGCATGAACACAGAACCTGTGGAGAAGTGTGCCTGAATACAAGTCCCAGAGACACACAGCAAAGTCAACACCACCAGATACAAGATGAGACTTCTCATAACGCTGGTGCAGATGGTGAGGATATAGCAGGCAGTTCACTCGTCCTGCATGACCCAACAGCAACTGGTGTGGTGGCCAGTCTATTACAGGCACAAGACAGCAATAACAAGATTTAAACATAATTATCAGCAACAGAAATCACAAACAGATGTTAAACTTCAACATGAAGTCTGGTGGGTTTTGGTACCTTTGGGTTCTGTAACCACAGCATTAGTTTATCTGTTATAATAACCAATTCTAAGATTCTTTAATAATTATCAGTGAAATCTCCTGTTTTTTGCAGGGAAAAAATGGGTATAATGGTACAATGTATTAACCTTTTGAATACACTTAAAAGGTCTGCCACATCCTTAGAGCAGAACGCAGTAACCGACTTGGGAGTACTTAAGTTTAACTAAAATGTGTCCAAGTTAAATCTATGGTGAAGTTTGTGGAAGAAACCTGTGCCTGATATATTTTCTCTTCAGAATTTTTTCAAATAAGGGGACACAATATTTGCATTACTTTCTAATGTAATTTTACAATGTGTCAAGGACCTGTTGGTGCCCCATGGTAAATTTATAGATTATGATACTTTTCATTATGACATAAAATTCTACACACTTAATTTCTACAATGGCAGAGTATAAATGATCCAAGGACGAGACAAGGAAATCACAGGACATTTCTGTTCAAAAACCTTACTTTTTTTAAACATTATGTATCAACTGGGATGTGGCATAACGTAAGTTAGTAGAGAGGTATGGAAGTTTCAGATTAACAAGCTGCCTCCATCTTCAGGTCTACTGTGAACGCAAAGGGAGCACATTCTTCTGTAATGTTGGTACTTGTATATCTAAAAATATGGCAAGATATCCCAGAAGACAGCCATCTTCACAATCACTGCTGTGAGAATCTGAAATTACAAGTCCTTGATCATGATAAAATAACTGGCCATAAGAGTCAGGTCCCCTGTTCATTTATTCAGTTTAACCCTTTGCACACCACAAGCTGATCACATTGGTTGAGTGTATTCTATCAGTAGAGGGCATCAAGTGTTATGTTATGTTATAAACTGATGCTTAGAGGAAAGAACAGGTGCCCATGCTATCTTCATCTTTGGTTACTTGAAGGTAACCTGCAGAAGGATTGTGGATTTTTGTGTTGAAAGGTATTTACCCCCATGCAACCTTCATATTTCTATGGCAGAGCTTGGCAGCCAAATGTTTACTCTTTCATGGAGCAGAATATCAGATATTGTAATTTGGCATACTAACCAATCAACATTAGACTGAAAAGGGATAAAGTCTCTTTCTCTTTCAGAAAAATATCATGTCTTTAAAGGGAAAATTGTAAAAGTTATGAAACTATTAGAAAACTGGTTCTTGACAAATTATCTTTTAATATATATGGAAAAGACCAAAGCAATATTATTTCAGGGAAGAGGATCTAGTTTAATTCATAGACCCATTCTGTATTTAAATAATCTACATAAATAAAAACGTAAATGTTCGTTTGTTACCCCTTGAAAATCTCTGAAAGTTCTTCACCAATTGCTTTGAAATTTTGACACAACATTGCATTCGAATGCGCGAGTGTTTTACGAAGGGGGACCCAAAAATAACCGGAACCGACCTGTTGCGCGCGCATGCTTTGTAGTTACGAGTTGTGCTGCTAGGTGATGTTAGCTGGGGGTCTCCCGCGACTGTTAGTGAGCTGGCTTCAGTCTGAGTTAAGTGGTTTGTCTGTGGTGCTCTGTTGTGTGCGTTCCTGTTTCAACCCTTTGGCGATTAGTGAGATAGCCGACCAGAAGGAACAAAGAGTGTGCGTGAAATTTTGCTTTCTGTTAGGGAAAACTGCACTTCACTCTTCAAGTCGCGGCAAACATTCACGCGGTTTTCTCTTTGGTCATCTCCGAGCAAGCGAGGAACAAATTTTGCAGACACCCGTCTCATGTGCAAACCTTCGGTTAAAATTCGCTGGACCGTGCTCCATGAGATGTTCGTTTCCTCAGAAAGTTGGTCAATGGTCTATCGACGATCTTCATCAATTGCACGTTTGATTTTGGCAATGTTTTCGTCATTTCTTCCTGTCGAAGGATGCCCGGGGCGTGGCATGTCTTCTGTTGACATGTTGCCAGATTTGAAACGGGAAAACCACTCGTAGACCTGTGATTTCCCCAAAGCATCATCATTAAAGGCTTGCCGAAGCATCCCAACAGTCTTGGCTGCAGTTTTCCCTAACAGAAAGCAAAATTTCACGCACACTCTTTGTTCCTTCTGGTCGGCCATCTCACTAATCGCCAAAGGGTTGAAACAGGAACGCACACAACAGAGCACCACAGAAAAACCACTTAACTCAGACTGACGCCAGCTGACTAACAGTCACGGGAGACCACCAGCTAACACCACCTGGCAGCACAACTCATAACTACAAAGCATGCGCGTTCAACAGGTCGGTTCCGGTTATTTTTGGGTCCCCCCTCGTATATACCCATTATATAGATGTCACACCTGTGACAGGTAAAAACATGCATCTTTTGAAAAACAGAATTGGAATTTGGAATTCAGAGGAGTCACCCCTATGGAAATGCTAGAACCGACCATTGCATAGGAAGTAACAATAGCGATACTGTATCGAATCGCCATGGTTATGATGAATACACGGAGCGTTCCCACAGAGACAACGTAATAACAATGGGTCATTGCGTAGGAATCACGGAATCAACAAAGCAGCGTTTCTGCGGTTATAACAAGGGCTCATTTGCATAGCAGCGGTCGAGGGTATTAAAGGGGGTTGAATTCATTCGCCCAGTCAGTCTTGGAATAGCTACCACTGAAGAAGGTTGGAACCTAGACGCCAAGAGATACAGAAGTATTGGCCGAGAGATTGTGTAACCAGTAACTCTAATACTGCAAGTGGCAATAACTGTAAAGTGTGCAAGTGAATTACAATAAAGATTCGCTATAATTAATACAGTGTAAAGTTATTTGTAGCGTGACATACCCAAACACGCTACACGCATTACTGACGCGTGCAACATGTCACATCCACATTGGAATTGAGCCGTATCATTTACCATAGCATTCATTTTGTTTTCCTAACTGTTTTCCTTATTTTTCAGTGCAATTGGCGGTGGAATTGAGCTGTGTCGATTGATCTGCATTTGGATTGAAATATTTCGTTAGCATTTTTTATTTTTTTTTCTTCTTTGTTTTCCAGGTCGTGTTCTTTCCTTTTTTAATGTTTTGCAATTTTATATGTTTTGTTATAACTTCCTTTCTTCTTCTTCAGTGCAATCGATCTGCTTTAGTTCATCCAAATAATGCCTCGCAGAAGATCAAACTCAGGTCGCCGTACTTGTGGAGCAGAAGCAGTGCAACGAGTAACTGCAAATCAAACTGGGGAAGAATGGGCAGACTGAGCCACAGCAACGTGTGGCCGGGTACAGCTAGTAAAGAAATAATTATTCAACAAATTTAAAATTTTTAGGTATTTATATCACAGAAAACTTAAGCTGGGCCACTCATATGCAATACCTCTGTCAGAAATAAACAAAGCTCTTTATTTGATTAAATCCTTATGCAACTCAGTAAGTATGCTTTTATTACGAAATGCTTGTTTTATAAAATTTGAATCTATATTAAAATATGGTATTATATTTGGGNGGGAGAGTAAATGACAGTTATGCAGTATTTAAAATCCAGAAAAAAGGTCTAAGACTTATTAAAGAAGTTAAAACAAGGTGCCTTGTAGAAGTTTATTTGGTTATTTTAAGACTTTAACTGTAACTTCATTAAATATATTTGAGATCTTGTGCTTTATAACAAAGAATAAGATCTATACAACTCAGTTTTCTGATATTCATAAGTATAACTCAAAAGGGAAACAAGATTTGTATGTATCACGTCCACAAAGTAAGTTTCCCACTCATCCAACAGCTAGCAAACCTTATATTGTGCGAAGCAACTGCGTGTACGTGATAGAGCAATGACGTAGCATGACACATGCACAAACGGAATTTCCCGCGTTCTCACAGTAGCATCATTGCAGCTGTTGAAGATGGAGGCTTTTATTCCAACTCCCGCCGACTGTGAAGTGCAGTCAGTGATAAAGTTTTTGAATGCACAGAACATAGTGCCGATCAAAATTCATCGCCAACTGTGCCGGGTCTATGGGCCTAACTTCATGAGCAAGCAGATGGTGCGTTGCTGGTGCAGACAATTTTCAGCAGGTCGACAAAGTGTGCATGATGAGAAGCACAGTGGGCGGCCATCCATCATTACAGACGACCTGGTGGAGCTTGTGCGGGAATGCATTATGGAGAATCGTCGCGTCACAATTACGGAACTCAGCAGTCATATCCCGCAGATTTCCCGCACCTTGTTGCATGAAATTGTCTCGGAGCACCTGTTGTTCAGGAAATTGTGCGCCAGGTGGGTGCCGAAGCAACTGACACCAGAACACAAACAAAGCGCATGGAGTCAGCATTGACCTTTCTGCAGCGGTACCATGATGACGGCGCTGAGTTTCTGGACCGGATCATCACAGGTGATGAAACGTGGATTGCACACATTACCCCAGAAACCAAGCAGCATTCAATGCATTGGTGTCACAGTGGATCTCCCTGTAAGACGAAATTCAAGCAGACGTCGGTGTGGAAAGTGATGTGCACGGTATTCTGGGACAGATGGGGCATTCTCCACGTGGACTTCCTGACCAGAGGTGAGACGGTGAATGCTGAGCGTTACTGTGAAACACTGCAGAAATTGCGACGGGCCATTCAGAACAAGCGGCGCGGGATGCTTAGTGCCGGTATTGTCTTCCTGCACGATAACGCTAGGCAGCACAAGGCTCGATGGACAGCAAGTCTCCTGCAGGAGTTCAGCTGGGAGGTGGTTAATCATCCACCCTACAGCCCAGACCTTGCTCCCAGTGATTTCTATCTTTTGCTACACCTCAAGAAATTCCTGTCTGGTGAGCGTCAGTGTTTTGAGAATGACAGAGATGCGGAGATGGTTGTCACACAGTGGTTCCAATCCCAGGCGGCAGACTTCTATGACACAGGTATTCAAAAGTTGGTCCCACGGTATGACAAATGTCTCAATTCCGGTGGCGATTATGTTGAAAAATAGCTGAACACTTGCTGTCTCTGTTGCAATAAATATTTCCATGAAATTGTGTTTTGTTTCTGTAAACGGCCCCAGGGAAACTAGTTTGTGGATGAGCCTCGTATATCCAATTATGCAACACTGATCATTGTAAAAAAGTGTAATTAACATGAGAATAAAAATACATAACAACTTACCTTTTCAATTAAAAAGAAGATAAAGTTTTAAGGTTTTTAAAAACAAATTAAGAAGTTATTTATTATAAAACTGTTTTTATTCTCCACAAGAGTATTTTAGTAATGACAGCAGTTCAGTAATTTGAGTTATTTTCGATATGATTCAGAAGTATATACATGGTCTTTGGACTGTTAGCTTCACTAAATGTGTGATGCTTTGTTTTACACGGTTCACCTGTGTTTTTGGTGGTTTAAGTATATTTACTGCTTTATACTGAATTGCTGGGCACTGTCATCCATGTTAGGTAAGCTATAGCAAGGGGATGTTGCTCAAAAAGGGACTGCATTGTACAAGGTGGTTCAAATATGACCGGGACTGATTTGTATGTAAACAAGCAGCACTGCGCAGGAGCTGTGCGACCTTCAGAGAGTGAAGCCACAACCTCTACCATCCCTCCTGTTAGGGTTAGAACCTGTTCAGTCCTGTCTGGGAGTTGCTAGAGTGATGAGCGAACTAAAGGTACAGTGGAGCACGGAACAACGCATTGTGATCAAATTCCAAGTTGGAGAAAATGTCCCGTCCGCTGAAATTCACAACAGACTCCAACAACAGTATGGGGAAGAGCGTCTGTCAAGGACCTGTGTGTTTGAGTGGTGTAAGTGCTTCGGAGAGGGCAGAGAGTGCGAGGAGAATGAACCGCATGATCGCGGGCCGCGAACATCCGTCACCGAGCCAAACATTGATCATGCAGACACGCTTATTCCTGAGAATAGGCGCATCACTATCAAGGAACTTGGAGCAATGCTGTCCATCAGTGTTGGTGGTGTAGAAGACATCGTGAAATACCACTTGCACTATCGCAAGGTGAATGCACGGTGGGTACCATGCACTTTGATGGACGTGAACAAAATGGTGCGCATGCAAGTTGCCAGTTGTCTCCTACAGCAGTTTGAAGACGAAGGTGAAGCATTTTTGAAGTCTATAGTGACCACCGATGAAACGTGGGTGCACTACTTCATTCCTGAGTCCCAGCAGTCATCACGCGAGTGGTGGCATACCAGTTCTCCCAAACCCAAGAGAGCGCAGAGGAGCCGTTCAGCAGGAAAAGTTTATCCATGTAGACTTTCTGACAGATGCCAGAACAGTCAATGCAACTTATTACTCAGACCTCCTGGCAACAGACGTGAAGGAAAAGATCCGATCCAAGCGGAAGACACGTGGAAAGCGAGTAGCCTTCCTTCAAGACAATGCACACTCCCATATGGCCAAAAAAAACAACAGAAATCCTCTGGAAACTGAAATGGAACCTTCTGACACATCCGTTGTACAGTCCTGATTTGGCCTCAAGTGATTTCTACCTGTTCGGAAGGCTCAAATCAGACTTGCAAGGCATGCAGTTTGTGGACAATGATGCTGTCATCCGGACTTTGGGAGTGGATATGCCTCCAACCACAAGCCTTTTCTTAAATGGGCATCATGATGCTTCCAGAACGTTGGAAAAAACGTGTTGACTCGGGAGAGGAGTACATTGAAGACTGACATGTGCAAGTAAGTGTTTGGCAATTATGTTTTTTAAAAAAAAAAAATCAGTCCCGGTCATATTTGAACCACCTTGTACATTGCCTTTGTACATTTTTAGGAGTTGTTGATATGTAGTGCTTGATTGTTTTCAACTGACTTGTCCAACTGTGCCTGTTTAACAGTTATGGATGTTAAATAAATTATCAATTATAAAACTGTATATTACAGACCTTGAAAACATTATCAGTCACATAATACAACACTGACCATCATACTGCTGGTGCTTCCCATGCAACAACTGCAACATGACAGTCTGTGTCGCAGGCACAATGATGACTGAACCATCTTCACGGCCCACAACCAGGCGACTCTGCTGAGGCAGATAGATGCTTGCTGTCAGTCGCACTCCTGGCTGATCACCAGAGTCCTTTAATGGAGGTAAAAAAGGTTTAAATGGTAATCTGAAGATTTCTGTCTTCAGAGATATAATGCCATGTAATCTGTTGAAAAAACCAACCAACTATGTGGTGTTATATCATAAGACAGAATTCCTTATAACTACTGTTGTGAAAAATTCAAATCCTAGATAATCTGTTTGTTTACTAGTGTCCAATGAACTGTGAAAATCACTCAAGTACAATCATTCTAATGATATGACAGGCTGCAATCTTGTGGAGAGAGAGGAGAACTATATGCAAGATATGGAAATAGGGAACTTAACTGAAAAGTCATAAATATATATATATAAAATGTGAATAATGTAATTTTCTCCATTCCCTTGTTAAGTCTTCACTCTTAGGTCCAAATATTCTCCACAATAATTTATTCTCAAACACCTACAATCAAGTTCTACATACATACATACATACACAAAAAAGGTTAAATATGCTAGGTCTTGGAGTAACGTTTATGCCAAACCTATATAATTTATAAAATGTGTTCAAACAATTGTGAGTAAACTTCAGTTTCTTCTTGCACAGCTGTCTCTACTGGAGCCAGGATAGCTTAGTTCAGTAGATAAGGATGGCCCTCAGCTTTGAAAACATTTCATCATGCACCCATAGTTACCTGTCTGTGTATACAAGGTGCAATCGGAAAGTTCCCACACTGTTATTGTTGTAACTGCCTCAGTGAAAGAAGATGAGAGGGGAGGCCAAGGTCACACTTCTGCAAGCCTATTGCATCAGTCTGCCATGTGACACCATGCTGCGAACACGAACTCTTTTTACATTAGTGATTTCTCGTATTCATGTTTCGTTTTGTCCGCGATGGATGGTAAAACTGAGCCATGTGTTTGCATCAAGTTGTGCTTGAAGCATGGCAAATTCACTACCAAAACCCTTGAAATGCTTCATGAGGTTTTGGAGAACATTCTTTAAGCTGGACAGCAGTTTTTGAAGGGCATCGATGTTTCAAGGCAGGTCGAATGTTAGTCAAAGATGACAAGCGTTTAGTGTGACAAAGCACCAGAAAAACGACAGAAAATGTTTAAAAACTTTGAGAACTCATACACAAAGACTGCCGCAGAACAATCCATGAGCTTGCAGACACTGGTGGCATCATTTATGGAGTTTGCCAGGAGATCTTACTCGCAACAGAAAATTTGAATATGCATTGCACTGAAACAAAGTTTGTTCCTCAACTCTTGAAAAATGTTAAAAAGCAGCGGTGCAGGAACACGTGTCTTGAGCTATGAGAGAGGGCTAATGAGAATCCAGATTTTATCTCTAGGAACACAACGGGTGATGAAAGTTGGATTTATGGTTATGATGCAGAAACAAAGCAACAATCATTGCAGTGGAAGAGCCCACAATCACCAAGAGCAAAAAAGGTACAGCAGGTCTGGAGTTCAACAAAGAGTACCATCATTGTTTTTTTTTTTTTTTNGAAGGGGATTGTTCACTGTGAATTTGTTCCTCTTAACACTATGGTCAATTCTGATTTTTACTGTGATGTTCTGAGACACTTAAGAGAAGATGTGTGACAAAAAGACAGGAAATTTGGCACAATCACAACTGGCTCCTTCATCATAACAATGCGCCTACCCACACATCCCTGAAAATCACAGAGTTTGTGACTGACAACAACACAGTTATCATTCCCCATCCTTCGTACTTGCTGGACTTAGCCCCTTGTGATTTCCTTTAGTTTCCCAAATTGTAAATTAAACTGAGGGGATGACATTTTTAAACAGTATCTGACATCCAAAAGGAATCCCAAGTGGTACTTGACAGAATTAAGGAAAATTACTTCCATCGTGCTTTTAAAGCATGGAAAAATCAATGGGACCACTGTATATGTTCCCAAAGGAGACTAATTTGGAGATGGCAGCCAAAATTGAGTAAGTTAAGCCTGCATTTCTTGTTTGATCTAGTCTGGGAACTTCCCAATATCACCTCATATAAAGAACATTTTCATAAGTTTTCATTTTTAAAATCAAATCACAGAATATTCTGCACACTCCTCAACCAGTTGTTGTTACTTGGTGGGGCGGGGGCACTGGCTTATTCAGTGTAATAACTATGCTATGCACTGAAAGTCTAAGTAAGTAGGGTTTGAATTCCAGCAGAAGCAGAGATGTATGTCTTCTTCAGAGAATCCAGACAAGCTCTGTAGCCTATCTAGCCTCATACCCAATGGGTACCAGAGGTTCTTTCACTGGAGGCAAAGTGCCAGAAAACTCATGTCAAATCTGGTGCCAAAGTTGAGAATGCACACAGCTATACATACAGTATTTTACATGTATTCACAGCACTGTCCTTAATTAATCACTTGGACAACTTTTACCTTGCTCTTTTTACCTTACCTTCTTTAACCTTTAACGGCCGAATGACTCATATACATGTCACAAGGAGGGACCCGTGTTGGCCGAAAGACACATATGCATGTCGCAGGACACGCGCACTCTTTAGGAGTGCTGACAGTTTGACCTTGGGTTTGAAACCAAAAGAAACCTACGTGATGTCATGTCAGTGGTTCATTCCTTAGCTCTGAACAAACAAATTGTTTATCTTGGTCCTGATTTCGAAACTATTTATGTTTATATATGACTGTTTATGACCTGATGAGCCAAATGTAGCCCAGCTTTGTTCTGAGAACTGAAGAGGAAATATTCGTCGGTGCTTACAGATCAGTGCTTCCAGAGCTTTCAAGGAAGTGTGACGTATTCAACGATTGGTTTTCAGTGGCGAATTATCAGTTAGGAAGTCAGTGTCGGATTGTGTTATATTTCTTTTTCACTGAAAAAGTTAGTGTCAGACTCTCATATATTTCTGCTTATATTATTTTGTGTCTCGGAAGAGGTATAAGGCCACTGAGCCAGTATTTGTTTGTGAGTAGAAGCCATCTTCGTCACTGTGACTTTCCGTATCAGTGTCGGACTGGCACCTTTTCGACTACTATTACCATTATTATTTTTTATTGCTAGTGGGGTGCGACTAAGTCTCTTGTACTGCTGCCACTTCTGGCCTATTGTACCATACTATTACAGTTACTTTGCACCACTATTTTGCGAGTCTTTGTGAATCATCATAATTTATTCGATTTTACTGGAAACCCCCCTACCCCAAGATAGAACCTCAAAAACGTGCCCGATATTCCAAAATTCTCGATGCAGAAGAGCTGGAGGAAATATTGATGGAAGAGGAATCTGATGAAGAGCTAGAAGATATCAGTGAGTTCTTTGAACCTCGAGCAGATACGTTTTCGTCATCATCATCATCATCAGACGAGGCAGAGGAAACGGAAATTAGGTTTCGTGATAGAAGACCCAGGATTCGCCAAAGGTAATAGACTTCACTGGTCCTCCGAGTGGAATCAACAGATGACACACAAAAAGTTCCGTGAAATATTGGTCCGGGATTTGATTCTTCAGTCGCATGATGCGAATATCACAGTCAGTGGCGTTTCTCGGGGGAGGCCAAGTTCATCTGGGGCCCAACTGAGTCGACTGGAGGTGAAACATTCACAACACTGGCCAGCCAAAGGAAAACAAATACGTTGTCACATTTGTTCTCAGAATAAGAAGCGCAGAACAATGGCCTACTGCTGTAACAAGTGTAACGTTGCGCTCTGTGTGGAGGAAGGCTTCGAGAGATCGCACGCACGTCAGAGTGTGAGATAGCCTAAACTGTGAAGTGACGCAGTTCAAACTTGCGTACAGTCTGAACAAAATGTTATTGTATATAGTGTGATCATATCTACAATATCATCATGATTCAAGATTGAAGAAAAAAACAATGGGTAAGTCCTTTGGAACTTCATAACATATATAATAAAGAGTATGTTTTGCATTTTATGACAAAATATTCACAGTTAATTTTCATTTGTAAAACTTGTTCTTTTACGTATATGTAGAAAATTTTATTGTCTTTCGGGTTCTTTTTAGTTCATATTTCTATGTTGCATAGAATGGAAAATATGCATTTTTTTCTAAAAGTTTGCGGTGATAATTAAGTAGGGTGATTTAAATTCCAGCCGTACAGGGCTCCTGGCAATTTAAAAGTCCGTATGTTAAAGGTTAATCTTATAACATGAGAGCTGCTTCTTCTTTGTCAGCATAAAAAACAAACAACTCACCAACTGATCCAGTATTCCTACAGGTGGAGGTTTCATCTCTGCCCATGCTTTGACTAAACTGGTAAGTACGGTCGGTGGTATTGCTAAAAAAAAATAGAAATTAAACTCAACCTCAATTCAAACATTATCTTCAAGAACAGAACTTCAAGAATTTTCTGATAACTGTTTTTTCTTTAAATCTTGGGGTCATGTCAAAAGGGATCATATTTGCCCCAGTGGGAGATGAGTTTCTTTCCACTTTTAAGGGTTATAAAACTATGGGTCATTATCATCAATCTGAATCCTTTACACCTATATCAGATACTTTAATCTGTTTCAAGCTTTCATCATAGTCAGAGGACAATTTTCACTGTTGTGCTATGAGAGCAGCAAGAGAGAAAGTGAGGTCAGAAATCACTACCTGCCATGAGATTTCCAGAAGTACCATCAATATGATGAAACAAAAGTGGAAATTCACTGATTTATGACATTATGAGATTTTGTGCTAAGATAAGTATCAATCAACATGAAAATGATAGATCATACCAAGAAAAAAGTACTGGTGTGAAAAGAAAGGAGTGTCAGAGAGTATTAGGCACCACAATTCTGAACAAGAGTTTAAGACTATGGTGATTAAAACTGAAAAACAAACAAGCAACTATGAGGCAGCAAGAAAATACAGTGCCTCCTGATGCAAACACTGGAAGGTGGAAACAACAAAAACCACAATGTACACCAGCCCTATGAAAAAACTGCAACTTTTATAAATCCAAGGACAGAACAGATTGTCAGTTTCATACATCATCATTAATCAATGTGAGGCTCAAATTTTATGTCCAACACAGGGGGGAAAGCATAAATGATGTGGAATGACAGGTTTTCTTTATAGTGAAGATCTTTAACTGCCAAGAAGTTACCATCACACTTCAAGACAATGCTGATTAAATACCACACTGCATTTCAATATGCCATACAATTACACCACAGGTGGTAAAGGTATAAAATGTGTTGACATAAAGCATTAAGCAACGCAGGAAGCTTGAACCTTGCCTGAATTGGCAGACAACATGAAACTACCACCATATGTGATATTGTACTGAAAAGGTAGACATGAGCTGCAGTTAATTACGGGGCTAATAATCATGTTTCAAAGTAAGGGATCTATAAATGAGATGATGGGGGACTGATTACAACTTCTTTAGAACACGACATCAAGCATATTGTTGGCTTTCTCTTCAACCCTGGAGAGAGAGGTGATACATTCCTCCAAAACATCATGCTTTCTCCAAACTACATAGCACTATAACCCCATATACTTCCTAACTGCACATTTCCACTAACACTGTTGGAATAATTAAAAAAAAGAGCTGAGAATGAATATGAAGCAAGTATGCAGAAAATAATACATATTAATTTCAGTTGGAAAACTTCATGGAAAAAGACAACTTTCAGAGACAAAGGTGTTGACCAGAATGACTCTTACAGAAGTGCAATAACCAAATTCTCATAAACAACGTTAACTGAACTGGTTCAGGATAAGTTCCAGTAGTGGACTACCATGATACAAGATTCATCACAACAGTATATTAAATAGAGCTTAATTCTGACAAACTCCTTAGAGCAGAGTCTTCCATCAAAAGCTAATACTTGCTCAGGCACACCACAAATTACATGTTGAGATTCAAAGAAAAGAGTATCACCATGCAGACTCACCAGGTGGTTTCGCAAAATCTTCTTGCTTTATTTGAGCCAGCTGACCATTGGTGACTTCAGGAATGTTCCAGACTAGTACACAGCCCTCTGAATCACCTCGTATTAAGTATTTATACATTTTTCCTTGGCGTGACACAACATGATATCGCATAGCTGGTGGACATGAAAGAGGCTGAAAAGACAATATGGAATACAAATTTTACATCATTAGTCATTACCATAATGGAATATGTCTTTTGACCTGCTCCAGCTTGAAAGTTTTATAGTTTGTTTATCAATCTCTTTAAGAGGTCCTCTTCAATTTTGTTTCCTTTATGAGTGCAGGGTACAAAAACTTCCATGTTTTATACAGGTATTAGGCTAGATCCCACTTGCCATTCTAAATACACATAATTTATATCTAAAGAAAATATACATACAGTATATGTGCATACAGTAAGCTACTCTTATTTAGACAGTGTCTGTTTCATCTTCACAGAAGATTCAAAACTGCAGAAACGAATTTCTTTTTAAGCTCTACAGGGGTCAAAATAACTAAAATAAACTTAATGTTTACAAAATACAAAGTAATTCTACTGCATCTATTCTCATGATTTCATTAAGTCAGGAGCACAGTGTATTAAAATGAACTGGAATTGAAACAGAAAATTGTAAAAAGTATTTCATTTCTCCAGCAGGCATTACTTACTGAACTGTGATTGTTTCGCACAGCTCTCTCTCTGCAAAGAATCTTTCTTACTGAAAATTAATTAATGATATAAAAAAATTAGTCAGAACTTCCTTACTTAAAAAGTATGATATATATTTAATTCAGTTAATGATCTACTTTCATGTTAATGCTTTGTAAATATTTTAAGCCCCGTGATCAGCTAATCAGCTATTTTACTAGATCTTGTGTTTCTATGTATGTATTAACATAACACACATTTAATTCATTGCCTATTTTAAAATAGGTAAATATTTAATTAACAAATAACATTTAAAAATGAAATACCAAGAAAAAAATGATGTTGCTGCACCAAGAAGCTGTGGTGTAAATGTAAAGGGCCTAGGGTTAAATCAACTCATTTACCTTCAGAGATAATTGAAGAATGTCTATACATGTAAATTTACCTTATCTGATGGAACAGCTAACAGGCAATAGAGAAAGGGATTGTCATTTTCTACTGACTTGCTGTGAAAGTCCTTGCTGTCAGCAATGCTACTGTAAAAAAAGGATCAAAATCAAAACTGGTGATTAGCAATGATCCTATCTGCATCTGGGAGCTGAGTTGTAATTTAAACTCTCAAGATGAACAAGAATAATACTTCAGAGAACCTAAATTTTTGGATGGTTATTAGGTGCGACCTAAAAGAATCCATTACATTACAGCAGGTAACATGGTCATGTCCCTGCTATCCCAGAGGTACTCAATAAGAAATGAAAAAGACCACATATAAAAATAAGCATGCCTGACTTTCTTTTGAGCAAAAGTCTGAAACTGAAGATAGGAGCATAGCTTTTATGCATAATGTATTGCAACAAACTTATCAACATAACTCTGTAATACAAGTCTTTTATAGACCATCAAAACACAACAAATAGAAAAAATCAGGGCTTTGCTACATGTTTCAGCCACTAATGGCCATCATCATGCAAACTCATATCAACAAACGTACACCATTGAACTGCTGTACAATAGATTGGATACAATGTTAAAATACGCTGTGTAAAAATACAATAAGTAAGATTATATAAAAAACTGAAAGTTAATGTATAAAACAAGATAAAACTTAATTAATGTTATACAACATCGAATTGGTTGTTGATTTTTCACTTTTCATATGTATCTATGAATCAATTGGAAGTTTTATATTTCATTTATATAAGAATGTATAGGAGGCCCATGATGAGTCATTGTTTACTTTCCATACAGTACAGACAATTCTTCGTAAGATGAGGCACCGACTATACAATTAATCAATTTGCAACATCATGGGCCTCCTATACATTCTTATATAAAAGAAATATCGAACTTCCAATTAGTCCATAGAAACGTATGAAAAGTTAAAAATCAACGAGCGAATCGATGTTGTATAACATTAATTAAGTTTTATCTTGTTTTATACAATAATTTTTAGTTTTTATATAATCTGACTTATTGTATTTTTTACGCAAAGTATTTTAAATGATCAATAACATTGTATCCAATCTAATGTACAGCAGTTCAATGGTATGTGTTTGTTAATGTCTGTTTGCCTGATGATGGCCGTTAGTGGCTGAAACATGTAGTGTAGCCATAGCTGGGCGCTGACCCTGATTTTTTCTTTATGTTGTGTTTTGACGGTCAATAAAAGAGTTGTATATTGTAACACAACAGGATGCACGAAATGAAAAAAAAAATCTGTAATGTTAAACTTATAATTTTAATCTGTTGCAAACATTTCACTTATACTCTACTACTGATGCAAATTAATTCTATTAAAAAGTCTGTCTTAACAATGGAAATAGAATTATGAGATTACAGATAATTTCATGTATGATCACACATGAAATTACATTTTAACTACAAAATTTCAATTTAAAAAGCAAGCTGAAAAATTTATGTCCTCAGAGTGTGGACTTGAAACTTACACGTCAAACTTATTCTTTCTTTTCTTTCAGTTGTTCTAATGGAAGTAAAGAAACAATTTCATACTACAGGATTACACATCCAAAGAATTTTATTTAGACCTATCTTTTAAGCAAAAAGTGAAGACACTGTACCTCAACATCATTTTATATGTGTGAATCACATAACCAAAACAGTGACATATTTTTTGCTACTAAGGTTTTCTTATACAGAACAGAATTATGCCCTTGGATTTCTACAAAGTTCCATCAGAGCTCAGACAAAACAGGAAGGCACATCTCTGCAAGAAATGCTATTTCTGCTGCCAGTGGGACAAGGACATGATGTGAGCATGGACCCATAAAGCCACAAGGGCATGATGACATCCCCATACTAAGAGCAGTGATTCTCAACTCCTTGCATCCTGTACCTATATTGACCATTTTGTCAAAGCTTCTCTTTTTCCAATATGTACATTTTTAAAATTACAAACATTTTAGCACTATACTAATAACTAATGGAAGTTCTACACAGCATAAAAGATTGTAATAATTTCTGATGTTTTAGTAACATAATTATATAAAATAATACAATTCTGTTAGCAGAAATATGATTATAGTGCAACACTAATGAGGATCCTGTTCTCAAAAATTTGGTAAGTTTTGTGTAAGTGCAATTTATGTGATTTCCCTCATTCAACCATCAAGTTCCACCAGATGGTAAATGCTGCTACAGAGGACACAGCACATAGAAAGACTACACAAAGAAGTGGAGAATGTTTAGAGAAAGTATACTTTTGAGATGCACTGAACCTCAGATGTTCAATTGATATTACCAGTCAAAGTTAACAAAAACCATGCTTCATCACTGTCACATTCCTGTTCTGTGAGAGCTCTACACACACACACACACTCAAGAAAAGTGGTATACAGTTTAATACACAATACACTTTTCATCCACTCCATACTATAAACTGTTAACCATTAAAAAAGATAATAATAGTATTCTGCATTTACCTTTACAATTAGGCCCTGATGATTTATTGTGTTCTCAAGTGAAAATAAATTAAGAAGTGTTATGCATTTCTAAGAATGGAAACTCCACTTCTATCAGTTGAGGTTACTTCACAATGCAGAACACTGCGATGAAAATTCCCAGAACTGTGTGCTGTATTATTTGTTTGTATCATAAAATTAAAAGCATAAAAAGTAAAGCAAAAGCAAGAAAGTAAATATATATATATCTAGAGATAACTACTTGTACAACCATGTCACGTTAACTACCACAAGTCACACACACACACACATACATCACACTATATAAAATAAAAATAAACATTACTAAAGACAATCACTTGAGGAAGTTAACATCTGCAGCAGTCAAAACACAAGAAATTATACACATTTTAAACGAGGCAAATCAGTGTTGGGGTAGTGGTGTTGTTGGCTTGAACTTTACCATTTCATTGTAGCTGATGTTTCAGTCTGAGACCCTGTGTAACATTTTGTAACATGCTCCGTTTTTATGGTGAGGAGTTGTACATATTACTCTGATTTTATCTGCAGGATTTCTTAATTGCACAAAAAGCAAATTGGCTCAATCATTAACTTATATTCAGGACATGCCCAGTTTGAATGATGACCAAGATGCTAACTATCATGACTGAGGTTCTTTGCTGTTTGCATCAGTTCTCCCAGCAATTGCAAGGACAGTATCCCAAATCAGGCCATGACCACTTCCTTCCATATCCTTTCCAATTCATTATTCACAGTAATCATCAGTAATCACCCTACCAATCAACCCTATATAGTCCATGGTGCTGACAGTATTGTTAAATGAACCATAAATAAGGAAGTTTATAATTACAAAAGATGGTGAAAATACATTTAAGAAACTTAGTTACTTGACAACTTCTGAGGAACTGGACTTCAATGGTAAAAAGTTCCTGCTTATGGGTCACAAACAACATCACAAACTGTCACTGGTTCTCTAGAATATTATTTCTTTGGCTCAATGTATTGACCACAGCAGTCAACTGGTCAGCACTTCTGTTACCTATCTGGGAGACCTAGATTCAAAAATAGGCCCAGAAACTGGCTATCTTAAACATGGACTTTTATAATTTTCCTCAGTTGCTTCAGATGTTACAATAGAGTTCTTTTCACATTACAATTCACAACTCAAAATCATGCAACCATCTGATGCAACATGAAGTATGCAGTTGAAAACATATTAAATAACCCAAGAATTGATCAATTATGGACTAAATACATTCTCAAATAATGTTATATTTTAGCATCCTGTTGCACTGATTTAAGTCCATGATTTATTTCACCGTCTTTTAGTGCATACACTTATCTACCTCACTCCTTTCTCCCGCACTACAAACCGGGAGGAAATTTAATACCAGATATAAAGAACACATACATGACATAAGACACAATAACAGCAGTACAGGATACTCAGAACACATATTAAACACAGGACATACATATAGTACTATAGAAAACACTATGGATATCATAGCAACAGGTAGGAAGGGGCAATACTTGAACACATTGGAGAACTATCATATATATAGAACGACAAAGAAAAACACACATATGAATAATATAAATAAAGAAATATATAACCCAATATACCACGAATTAAACACTATCTACACAGAACAACATAACAACACCCCACCACCTACCCCCACCACATCTACGCCCACAACATCATAACTCAATCAAAACGAAGACAGCACACACACACATACCCAGCAGGCCCAGCAGTATAATACACACAGTCACAGGAGCAAGACACAACATAAAGCACAGTGAGTATTAAAAATTATAATACCACAAGTAATAAATAAAATACGGAACGCGGTATTAATGAATAACAAATTCACGTTACAGATCCACATACGATAATAGAAAGAGTGCTCCGACAGAAGAGATTAGAGGTGACTCGAGAAGTGAGATACGACGTAGGAAAAATCCTGAACAATTTTAATATTTGATATTTGTCGGTATATATGATAAATATATATTTTAATTATTTTAATATGAAGACAAGGCATGCAGTGAACTAGTTTGACGTTAATCGAATAAGCACCTGAAGATGGCACTTTTGTGCCGAAACATGTAGTGCGGGAGAAAGGAGTGATGTAGATAAGTGTATGCACTAAAAGACGGTGAAATAAATCATGGACTTCTCAAATAAGTTATGCAGCATTAACTACACAAAATTAATAACTTAAGTTCAATCTGATCCCTAAGTAACTATTTGTTGAACGCTGTTAACATATAATTAGAATTATTAGGAGGAGAATGGGAGGAGCAATCTCAAAGTAACATTGCTGTAGGTACCTACAAGTAAAGGCAGTTGCTGGAATATGGGAACCCTGAAACAATTACATTACTTTAAGCTCATGTTGTTTTGAAGGAACCTGTTTAAAGCCACTATCTTATACTTTTGGGTGGTAAACATGCATATATATCTATACTGAACTACACAAGCTCCTGAAAAGCTCTCCAGAGATACTTTCTTTCAAAATACTGCATTATTAAAACTTCTCACACAAAGATTTACAATGTTTAATGGGAAAACAATTGTAACAATTTCT